CTGTAAAAACATATTTTGACTGCATTTGCTTAAAAAACATATAGCGTGTTTATCAAAAATCGTACTTATAATAGTCATACATCGTGTAACTAAACACATTAAAATATTAGAACACTATTCCTCCACAAGGGCTGAGAAAAGCCTGTAACTTACTTAACAAGAAAACCTGTATGTTATCTGGATGGTGAACAGAACTACACAGAGATGCAAACATTTATTTAGCTAGCGGCCAATGGCAGCTACTTGTAATGTTTGTAAAAGAACAGGTAATGTTTTGTCACGCACTTTCACATGCGTGATATGCTCATTTCACTTCGTCAGTTAGCAAAAGACACCAAATAACGTGCATGTGATAAGCTAACATTCCAGCGTAAGTCCTACTTACCGGCGGTCTCATTCAGGGCAAAACAAACAATTGGTGGGATAGGCACGTGACCTACACTGCTTAATTGACATCATGTGACTGAAGGCAGTAATTGTATTTATTTATTTATTTATTTATTTATTTATTTATTTGTACGTACTCTTTCAAACAATGGATAGATTATTGATTTTTTTATTTTTTTATCTATTTTTTTAAAGCCCAAGAACAATCCCATGGGGGACACAACTGAGGAGCTTTGCTCTCTGACCACTGTATCTGAATTCTGTACAGTACCGCAGGAGGTGTGTCTGATGATTCATTTATTGATTTGAAAAATAAAGAGAGACAAAAAACTATTTCTAAGGGCAAGATGATTCAGGGCTGGTTTTAGGAGAGCTTGTTTGTACAGAACTGTAAAATCTGTCTCATGCTTGAAGTGGAAGTTTTTATACAACAGCAGAGGTTTATATGGAGCATCGATATTTTCAGGTTGTAGTCTGTCTTTCTATCCGTTATCAGACATGAAATTATTTGTGTGTTGTAATCCTTTTCATATTTTCTTTCTTTTTTGTGGCTGTTGTCTTGTAGGATTACTTTTTCTTTGTGTCTTTATTTGCATTGTTTTTATAGGCCTCCTCTCTCGTCTTTACCTCTTTTGTCTCACTTTTTGCCCCTTTTACTCCCTAACTTCCAATCTTGCCTCTGCCTTAGGGTACACCTGGCTGGCTGCTGGAGGCTGACACTTTAAACACTTGCTTTAGCCTCTGTTGCAAGTGGAATATCAATACCTACACACACTCACAGTCACAACCCTACCCCCCTCTCACAGAGCAGTAAATAGGGCGCAGGAAGATACACAAAAATCCACAAACACCACCAACCCACTGTCAGAGCACAGAGAAAGTGGGGCTGTGTTTGCCACGATACACCGCAGCATGATTGAAAGACCACCGCACCAACACGAGGGGGACTTTGGCAGGGCAGCAGTGGAGGGCACACTGAATGAGCACAATACATTTGCTCCTAAACTTTTTGTGCTCTTACAATGTTCCCTTTTTTCTTTCTAAATAAAGTGTCCTGCATGTGTTGGTTACATCAGAAGAATTTTAAGCAGCTAACAGTAAGCCCGTGAAGCCCTCACCCCTGCTTGAGTATACAGAAAATACGAGCTCACACACTCTTACTTTCACCCCCTCTCCACCACCACTTTTACCCTTTCCAGATTCACTTATGGATGTTTCTTCACCTAAGCTATATACTCCTCCCGGCACCTGGGAGTGATACCTTTTGGCTCATCGACTAAAGAGGATATTACAGGATTACCACTGCCTGTTTCTGAGTAAATGCTCAGCTTTTCTCTCACACTGCTATTTCATGTTTACAACTGTAAAAAAAAAAGTTTTAAAATGTGTCATGGTAATGTTATGCAAATTCATTTAGAATTATTTCAACTTATATTTTGGGTCCTTGTTAAAATAGCAGTAAAAGCAACCTCATCTCAGTGGTTTGTGTTTCAAATTACAAGGAAACTGAAACAGGTTCATGCGAGTCAAGTCGGCTTTTCTCACTTCTACATCTGCATAATGTTGGCCTGACACCTAGTGGATGCAATGATGGCTGGAATTGTCTAAAAAGATTAATGGAAAATGCTGAGAAACTAACTTATTACTTGTTACTAAAACCAACTATTTCAACTTACTTAACTTACTTAAATAGCTTTAATCACTTTTACCCACGAGTGTACATAACAACTTAAATCAGATTACCTGATCACCCAACACTTGTTGTCTCTATGAATGAGTGAGCATCTCGGGCACTGTAAAAAAGTAGTTTTTTTACAGTGAAAAAGTAGTTAGAAAACAAAATGGACCTATGTAAACATTTGATGCTCCCTTTAATGGTAGTTTCCCCTGAAGGTGTCAGAGGAAGCACTGAAGCATCACAGGAAATGATGCATGCACACAATAGATTTCTAAGTTCAGCCTGAGCACAGGCATACACTGCACATACTTTTGTTGAGTAACCATAGCGACACATGTAATGCATGAGTTTCTTCTTTTGTGTTTAATATATTGTAGAATTTTTCATTCTCCCTGTGATCAATTTCACTTTAAATTGAACTATCATTGTTGTGTAAGGTTAAAATCAAGAAAAACTGAAGGAGCAGGTATAAAACTTATCCAAACTGGGCATTTATTGAAAGTATTTTAAAGCCTTTACTGTTTGGCAGTTTGAGTAATAACCTGTCTCTTTTGGACAATGTCTTAACTTCCTCTGACTCCAGCATGGAAGTAAAGCCTGTTTAGGCTCTGAGTCTTAGTGAGCTTAGTCAAGTGCATGCCCTCTGAACAGAAACGGCTGTGACAGTCGTGGTCTGCCTAGAATTCACAGTTCAGCACCAAGGGAGAGGTTGTTGGAAGAAATGTGTAACTGAGAGACACTGCGTCCAACCAGAAAGACGGCTGATTTTGCAGGGGAAGATGAGCTGCTGGTGACCATTATATTTCCCACAAACAAGATTCCTCTTCAAAGCATCTTTCGGCACCCATCACTCGTCTACTGCAAAGCAGAGACGAGCTGTGATGCGGCTGTTTTCGTTCACTTTATATTAATTTCAAAAGGGCCTTAACTGAGCAAATACAGATGAATGTGATCGTTATCTGAGCTTCTTTAAGGATGAGCACTCCCACCTCCCCTGTGTAAAACCAATGGTATGTGATTTCTCAAACTCGAAACCTGTAAGCCTAAGGCATTACAGGACAACCTGCACTTTAGGGAAAGTAAAAAATGAAAATAAAATAGTAATAAAGGCTTTTTCAAAAAAGTGCAATTTCTAAATATGACCCACAGTGTGCAGCCAACGGGACTTGAGCACAGACTGAGCTCACCGTCTTTTTTGGTTTCAGATTGTCTTTTATTTGGCCAGGGAGAGTCATCTGCCCTCACACAGATACACAAACACAACAGAAATAAGTCAGATAAAAATATGAGGCCCTATACCCATCCTGGGGGAATAGGGTCTGTTGGACTGTGGCTGTGTGGGGAAACATGAAGATTAGCAGGGAGCAGTGGGTGGCAACTGTGTGCTGCTGTCTGGAAACGCTACGTATGAACCACCGCTTTTGCTTTTAAAACAATTTACTGCACAAAGACAGTCTATAAACATTATTTTTTGCAAATGAATGCATTTATGGTGTATTGTATGAGTGTGTGTGTGTGTGGGGGGGGGGGGGGCACTGCTGTCCTCTGGGAAATAAAGTCAAGCCTAGCCTCGACCGCGCAGGCTCGTGCGACAATTGAATGCATTGAAGGCCGGGTTTATCTAGCTGTGTAGGATAGTTTGCAGGTGTAAAGAATTTACCATGTTACATTAAAGCTCTTCATCACTTTTACGAAAGGATCAGCTGTCCACGAACAGCTAGATGGCGCTGGTTGGCTATGCCGATTGTCTATGTTTGAATATTACCAAGCTACGATGACACACATGGGAATAGCATAACCCCATTTGCTAATATCTCACCAACATTAGCAATAATGAACAGTTCCTTGTTTTGCAACAACTGATGCATCTTTTTTTGTCTCAGGGGAGTCTGTTTGCAGTGCTGCTCATAAGCAGCCTGCATTATAGCCTGGAAGCACAAGTGCTACATGGTCTAAACTAATGAGTCTCTAATGTTGAGCAACACTGACGAAACTACACACAGCTGGCTGTGGCAGCTCAAGCAGCTTTTTAAGCCTGATTTGCTTTGCTCTGTAAACAAGTCAGAAAACAAGCAGAACTATGCCACACTGGCAACTGGGACAAGTGAAAAGGCTTATAGTTTCTGCTGCTTTTACGTGCCCACGTTTGAGTAACATGCTTTGATTCTCCTCCAGCGTTAGGCCACGGTCTAACAATCAAATTGCCACCTTGTGGGATGCTCTCTGCAAGAGCTGCAGTGAATGAGTTTCTCTGTTTTAGGTAGATCGACAACAAATGGGAAGGAAACTAGTTTTGTGGAATAAAGAAAAGAACACAACATAACGTAAGAAGCAAACATCTGCTGTTGACGTGCAGTTCAAATGTGATTTTCTGTAAAAGTTAAGCCCAAAAGTACAGTTAGTGCAGCAACACATTGCCTGAGCCAAAGCTCTTTCATTTTTTGACATTAACCCCGAGCGCCTTGCTGATGTGATGAGAATCCCTCTGAAAACATGGTAACTTGTTTCCAATGCCAGCCGCTGCAGCCGGAATGTTTCGCATAAACTTTTGAACGGCAGCCTCCACATCTCTCTGTGCTTATGTTGCCTCTGCTGTAACGTAATCCTGTTTTTATACCTCTGTGTTGCAGCCACGAGCCAACAAAACCAGCGTTATCAAGTCTCAGTGCTGTTTTTACCACCACAATCATGTGCCAGACAAGAGATAGAAACCACTGGGTGAAAACAAAAGCAGACAACAGGCACGAAAGGAAAGGTCCTGTGCTTGGCTGTGAGATGGAGGAAGAATATGATATCAGAGGGAGAAGAAAAGAAAAACAAGGATGGAAAGGCAGACAGTAAGAGTTGGAGTCAGACTGATTCTGAGAAAGCTCTCTTACATGTCACATGTGAGTTGGCAGCGTTGCTGCCAATGAGGGTCTCTATTTTTAGGGTGGGAATGCACACAGGCCTCGTGGAAAGAGGCCACAACAACAAACAGTACGCAACACGCTGCCTACAAAGATCAAGGCGCAAACAGTCACACAGCATCAACACAAGAAAGAAGAAGAAAGGCACAGGAAAATGTCAAGACGTCATATTTTCTGCTGAGAACTCACTTTGAAGCCAACGGGATACCCAGAAAACAGATTTGAGACAGAAGTGGGGAAAAAAAGGTAAGAGCTGTGGGAAGACTGAACGATCTGGGAGGAACATTCAGTATGCTTGTCTGGTGTTTGCAAGATCTAAATAGATTCAGTGTAAACATTCATCCATGCAAAACCTAGTGGTGATAAATTACCAGTTTTCTCTTTGCACTAATAAATAATGCATGAAAGGGAAAGGAAGTAAGTGGCTGCCCCAAACTTTTGAAGCCCACTAAAACATTTCCACACAATATAAGAAAATCATAACAGTTCCCATGCGAATGACTAGACGGCAACGCAACTAGCTGCAAAGATTTTTCAGCGGATGCTGTTAATAATATCTGTAGGGTGCAGTGCTGAATGGACCCTGTGGGAAGTTTACTGAATATCTGTGAGCTAGATTACAAGTAAATAGCAAATTATTGCTTTTAACCAAATTCCACTTTCCTGACTGTTCAGCTGGACTCATTTTCCTGAATAGCTTACAATTTTGGAAATGATAAGGTCCAAGATAACTTATGCACAAATGTGATGGTGCAGCATTGAAGTTATTGTCCTTGTTTGTCTAAAAAAACACATCTCTTTATTTTAATTCATTCATATGAGCAAATGGGAAAGAAATAATCTGGAATCTCATTCAGGAATTGGTCAATTGTACTCCACATTGAATTGTCTATCTTACATACCAGTAGATACACATGTCAAGCCCTGAATCACATTAATAAACAAAGTCTAACAGCCAATTGATTTCACCATAACATGTCGATCTCTTCTCAGTATGGATGCACTTGCAGTTGACGTTCATCACTACAAAGACAAAGAGCTGTCTTCCAACCTGCTCCTGCAGCTCAACAGACTGAGACATGAGAACATCCTGACAGATGTGCTGCTGTGTTCAGGTGACACACAGATCCCCTGCCACCGTAACGTCCTGGTGTCCAGCAGCCCGTACTTCAGAGCCATGTTCTGCAGTAACTTCATGGAGACACAGCAGACCAAGGTTGACCTAAAGGGGATCACGTCTGCCATATTGAGCAGTATCATTGACTATGTTTACACTGGGCTCATTAGTATCACCATGGATATTGTCCTCCCTCTGATGCAGGCGGCATCCATGCTGCAATATGGCTGCCTTTTCGAGGCTTGCTCCAGTTTCCTTCAGAAGCAGCTGTGCCCAGACAACTGCTTGAGCATGATAAGACTCTCTGACATCATGAATTGTCACAGCTTGAGAGACAAAGCAAAAGAGGTGGCCATGAAGAGCTTCTCTGATGTGTCGGCATCGGAGGATCTGTGTGAGCTCTCCTTACCAGAGCTGATGGGCTACCTGGATGATGACAGTCTCTGTGCAGAGGAGGAGCAAGTCTTTGAGACGCTTGTTTCTTGGATCCATCATGATCCCTTATCTAGGCGGGGAGCTATAAGTGACCTTTTCAAGAAAGTTCGCCTTCGATTTATCCACCCTACCTACCTCTTCCAGTTCATTGCAAATGACCCTCTGATTCAGTCATCCACACTCTGCACCGAGCTCATTGAATCTGTGAGGCGGCTCATGTTTTCTGTTGGTACAAAACGCATTGAAGACGCCGTGGTGGATTTCAAACCTATCTGGACCGCAGCACCGCGCTGCACCTACCATGACACCTTGGTGGTGGTTGGAGGAAGGAAGAACAATGATCAAACTTCAAGAGATGCTTTAGTTTTTGACGAGAGCAACCAGACGTGGCAGCGGCTTGCCAAACTGCCTATTCGTCTTTATAGAGCCTCTTATGTTGCACTTCACAGCGTCCTGTATGTTATCGGAGGCCTGACCACAAGTACAAAGCACTGCCAAGTCAGCTCGGCTGTTTATACTCTCTCCCTCAAGACCAACCAGTGGCGGACTGCAGAACCCATGTTGGAGCCACACTTTGCCCACCAGAGTGTGTCCTACTTGCACTTCATCTTTGTCCTGGGTGGTCTTGGGCTCGACAGACGTCTAACAGATAATGTGGAAAGGTAAGGTCCTCACTCAGTACCTTGTGTTAGCGCTAATAGAGACCTGCAACATGGGAACGTATGATGACACAATCTCACACTGTCGTTAAAAGATATAACAGTATGTTCAACCAGTGGGAGTCGATGGCACCGATGCTTGAGGCAGTTCTACACCCCGCAGTTGTAGCAACCAACCAAAGGATCTATATGTTTGGAGGAGTGGATGCCATGCAGAACCCTGTCAGACTGATACAGGTGACACAATATGGTTGCGTTTGAAGACATCTTCTTCTTAAGTTTGTCTTGAATTTTTCTGTGTGTTTTATTCAGCTACTCACTCATCTCTTCTCCATAATCCCCATCCTTTGCTGTAGGTTTACCACATCAGCAGGAACATGTGGTCTACGATGGAGAACAGGACAGTGAAGAATATGTCTGCTCCTGCAGTTGTTTTGGATGAGAAAATCTACATCATTGGAGGTATGTAGTAGGTTTGTTAAAGGCCACTTTTAAAGGAATGAATATGGCATAACTACATAAACAAAAAGTCTCTGTATTCGGTAGTGGCTTATTCTTATCTTAATCCTATTTTGATACCATTTGTAGTGGGTTACACCAAATACCACAAGGTCAGAAGAGGCCCAGGACAATTATCCGACAGTTACACAGTAAAATATGAGCATCAAAAAGTATCCCACTGATTAGCATTGATAATCAAATAAAATCCAAAGGGAATACATTTTTCTTTGTCAAACAGAAAAGTAATTTTCAATACTTCAGTAACATGTGGAAAGGGCATCCACCAAACTCCTAAATTGGAGCTTGTACTCCTGACTGCCCTGGAGTAAGATGAGGAGCATGATGCCCAAAACAGTATAGTTAACACACTAACAAAAACTGACAATGAGTCACCAACAAACATAAAAAATCCATATGGACTTACCAAAGTGATTTAGGTTCTTGCAGTAATGGCAGGAAATGCCATAAAATGGCAAAACCTAAAAATGCTTGAGAAAATGGAACAGTAAAACTGAACAGTCAGTGTTTCACAAATTTATATTGTCGAAGTAAATATAAAACATCTCAGAAAATGACAGAAAAAGCATTTCATGACACACAAAGACCAAAAAAATACAGCGGCGAAACGGAAACGTTATGGACATTAATTCTATTGTATGGCATTTTATGGTGTTACAGGATTCTGTGTTTGACCATACAACACTGGGACGAAGCTATAAAAAAGCAGCAAAACAATGATGTTTTCACACTTGAATCCTGTACTTGTAAATCCTAAATACACTCTTTAAAAATTGTCAGCACATAAAAGATGAATTCAGGAAGCAGCAGTTATTGCTCAGTGATTCACACAGTGAGACTGAATTACCACACCCTGCCTGAAATGCCACCCATCTGCAATTAATGCTTTCCCTGTCACAGGATACACCAGGAGAATGATCGCTTACGACACCAAAGCCAACAGGTTCACCAAATGTGCCAACCTGAAGGAGAGGCGGATGCATCATTCAGCCACTGTTCTCAACAACAAGCTCTACGTCACAGGAGGACGTTCTGTCAGCAGCCATGACATCATTGAGGATTTGGATACTTTTGAGTGCTATGACCCCAAAACGGACATATGGACATCTAAAGGGAGCTTACCACATAAACTGTTTGACCATGGCTTCCTGACTCTGACCTGTGTTTCAAAAACCTGGGAAAAATCATAGCAGACTACAGAGAACTGATCACTTTTCTTCAGTACTCGTTTTTTGTTTCAGACCTGAAGTATTCTTTTAAATATTTTATTTTTTATTTGAGAAAGTTTATCTGAGTTTATTTGAGAAATATATTACTTGAATGATGTATTATTTATGCAGTTGATATATGTTAAAAATGTAAAACAATCACATGTCATTGGTTAACAATTTTGGTATGAAGTGTACACGTCTCTTCCAGTCTTTTCCTTTGTTTATACTCAACATCCAAACCTATAAAAGAAAGCCACTGTATTGCACAGCCTGTTCTTAACCTGTCTGACTTCACAAAGGGCGAAGGTGCTATTTTCAGCCCTCTCTGAATCATGCGATTTCACTTGTCATGTCTAAATCCCAGCGGCTATTTGGTGCAAGTCAAAGCAATGCTCCACTCACAGGGCTGAGGCTGCAGATTTGTCTGGCAAGCATTGTCTGTGGCTCGAAAGGAAAATTACGATAGAAAACTGTTGTAGCAGGAAAGTTGGGCATTACTGAATGCATTGCTAAATTTAAATAAAAACATAGATTTTTTTTCCAAAAACACCACCCCTGCATGAAATATGAAGCAAAATTCTGCATTGCATACTGATAAAATCTAATGAATGCTAACACAGAAGCAAACAAAGGAAATCAAGTTGTTTTTGTATTGTTGATTTCTGATTTCAATGTATTATTGTCATTATTATTCATTTGATCTTTTGCTACCTTGAAAACTAAAAGCTGAGTCCACACATGTGACTTCTCTTCGTCTGTCTCACCACTGCACAGCTCAGTCATTTGACGGTGAATCTGAACAGCACATGTCTTCTCTGTATCTCATCATATGTCAATCAGATCACAACTCCTACGTATACAGACATGTCCAGACAGGTTCCTGCCCCCCTTCACTGAAGCTAATACACAAACTTCCCACATTAAGAAGTTTAATATCCTGATATTATTTGAACCCGAGTTCAATGTTTATAATGGAACCGTTTGCAAAGTTTGCTACTTTTCTTTCTATTCCGACACTCAGTTCTGATATTATTAGATGCTGCTTGTGCAGAATTATGTTAAAGACAGCCTCCTTAATGACTTACATAATCCAATTTTTCATTAGCTTCCGCATACCAACGTTGGTCTATTGTACAGAGTAAACATAAAGTGTCTATAGGAGTCACTGAGCATTTCACAAGTCACTGGGTCAGATGTTTCAGTCCTGTGCTGCCAGCAAATGGAGTCTAGGGAACAGTGGGTGGAGAGGGGGCGAAGGGGTGGAGAAAGGTCTGGAAAAAACTATATGTGACCCGACGTTATTTCGGGTAACAAACAAGAGGGCAAACGTTACACCCTGCGAGGCATGTTGCTCTGTCGGTCACCATGTGAGCTGGCAGATGCGAGAGAGACGAGAGACACAGAGAAAACCGATGAGCCGTGTTTCACAACAGAGAATCTGAGCGAGTGATGAAACTCATCCAGGAGGAGCAGCAACAGGTGTATTTTGTGCGTTTAGGCGCGTGTCGGTGTGTGTGTGTGTGCATGTCAGCCTGTTTGCGGTTAAGGTGTTTGGAGGGTTGAGTAGGACAGACCAGCTGTCATGGATGATCACAACAAAAACATTAAGGCCATTAAGAGAACTGAGTCAGGAAGAGACACAACAAATTACCTATGGTCATTTTCCTAATTTGAATTCCTCGGTATTTGTGTTTTGAAAATAAATGTCTTTTTTTTACAGATACATGTAGTAGCGTACAACTTTATTGGCTGTGAAGGCCTGCCTCAGTGCTTTTATCTGAATGCTGACATGCTCATGTCAGCGGGTGCGAAACGTAACACACACAGTTTCGAGTTCAGCATAAACAGTGATTAAATGTGCTTTCTTTTGTAGAGTTGAACATGAAATACAGCTGGGGATGTTCTGTTTGGAAAGCGCAGTGAGACAACTGTTGTTGTGATGTGGCGCTATATAACTGGAATTGAATCGAATTGAATTAATTTTAATTTTGTAATGTCATTGTCTGAACGTATGTTTGGACTGATTTTGTATTTTGTGATTTTGTGTTGTTTGGTCTTCCTGCCTCAGGACGAAAGATGTAAACTAGCAACTATGCTATAATCTGGCTCATTTACAATCTGTATGAGATTGTTCATTAATGTGCACTGTCCTGATTAAATAAAAAAATAAAAAAATAAAAAAATTTCGGTGGCTAGTTCTTTTCCAAACATCCAAATAATGCATGAATTACAAATGAAAAATGAAAATACTAATTGTTTGTAATTAAGGGGGTGAAATATAAATGAATATCATCTGCATCACTGAAATATTGACAGCTTTGCTTTTTCTTCAGGAGCTATCGTAAACTGTTTTACCTTACTGTTGATTTCTCTGACTCTAACCAGAGAACACACAGTATCTGATTCAACTTTGCTAATCAGTCTCTGAATCATGCAAAGGAAACATTTAAGGCTTAGGTCATAGCTCTTAAGCCAACTAACTTGCTGGGACTTTCCATGTCATCTTGTGGTTTAGCCTACTCTACAAATAGATTAAAACTGACAGTGACTAACAACACTCTACACATCACTGTATACGCTTGCACTTCACACACTTATATAGTTTTAATATCTTAGTTTCACTTTTTGAACAAAAATAGTGACCATCAAGTGGAACCTTTTGAACAGGAGCTACTTTTCCTGAGGCTGGAATATCTAAGTCAAGTTCAGTTCACAGACAGTGTTTATTTTATATATATCTGTGTGTTTTTGTGTCTCTCGTGACATGTCTTGCGGAAGGATTTAAACATGCAGGCATGTGCAGAGCTCTTTGACCTTTTGCATACATCAGAGTATTGAATTAAAACCTCAAACATGAAGACACAGATCACACCTGTTTCAAAAGCTTCAGAAATGACGCCGCAACGTGCAGTGTGGTAATGTGAGAACCAATCCACTGTTGCTAAAGTCAGTACTGTCAGCCTGACTGATCAACCTTTCCTACCCGTTCATTTTCCATCAGGACTACAGACAAAGTCAGCAGTTAATGAGTCTGAAACAAGTACTTTGTACCACTTGAGGGTAGTTTACCACTGTCAGTGATGAATGTGCAGCAGAAAAGCCACATCAGCCACGTGTGCAAAGGTCCGTCATGCTCAAAAGCCCTGAGTGTGCCACAACACACACATACCATCAGCTAAAAGAAATGAACGTCTGGTTCTAGAAAGAGGCAGTCCTCTCTCTCCTCGTGCACAGTGCGCTGCAGCTGAACTTCCTTGCACCTCCCATCTCGGGACAATCAAACATTTTATCACACAGTCGAAGAAATCTAGTAGAAAATCAGTCCAAACTTTAAATGTACTTCCAAAGGCCCTCACTGATCAGTGTGTAAATACATCATGTGTTTAATAAAGCTGATAGGATGTGACCTAGTGGCCTGGGAAGCGTTTACTTCAGTAGAAAATCAATAAAAACACTCTCAGCCGGTCCTCGTTGATTAACTGCTGCTCTTTTGGGAAAATTTTAATACAATGGTAAACCCCAACAGCAAACAATCCCCCACCCAAAAGAAATCCAGAGTGCTAAAGCTCTGGAAGAATCTAAAGCACAACTCAATCTATTTATAAAGCCAGGAGTGACTAAGAATATTGCTCTGAGACCTGTGAGAATGTTATTTCCCCTTTATATTTATATTGACAGCAGGTCTGTGCTGACAAGCTTGGGCAACAAATATCTCCAAATTTACAGTCAAGAGCCAGGCCTAGCTTGAATCATTTAGATTATTCCTGAGAGACAGTTCCCCAATTTTTTCAGATGTTTTTTAAAAGTTTAAGTACAGAGGCCGGATGCATTTTCACAGATAAATCCACTCATTTGTAATCTCTGAACCATTCATGCTTTAAAAGCTTCCTAATTAATTTATCTTAGATAGTGATGTCTTCATGTGAAAAAAAACATTGAGCAAACACCTGAAAGGGACCAGAAAGCTGGATCTGGAGCTCCAGCTGATCCGTCTGCTGCTGGCTGAAACATCATTAGAGATTGTGGCTCAGAAGAAGCCATTCTCAAGAAAGGGAAACAGAGACTTTAAAAAAAGTCTCATGTCTTTCATGCAAAATGGCACAGGATGTATACAGTGACAAGTCTTGTGGAGTGATGAAAACCCCCCAATGTCCACACTTGAACATTGTTGAAGCAGTGTGGGATCATCTTTAACAAAAGGCAGCTAACATCCAATGAAGAGCTCAAATACTTCAAGAAGCCAGAAGATATAGTCCAAGAAAGCTTCTCTAAAAAAGCTGAAAAGTTTTTACAGTAGTAATCAAATTATTTCAACATGTTATAATGATTTGCTATGATCATGACACAAAAGTGTATAATGATGAACTGAAGACGTGTCCCTGCCACATTATAGGGATACTCAGCAGTCACAAATCAAACAGCCGTGTGGGCATGCATTGCACTCCACAGCCAACTGACTTGTCATTTTGTTTACAGTTTCATTTCCTTTTTAAATGTGACAAGATACATGGGTGTTACGGTTAAAAAAAGAAACCTGAAAATTCTAAGGACAGATTTTCTCTACTCAAAGTAAAAGCACATTTCTGAAAGAATTGTTCTTCCCAGCCCTGGAATGCCACAAAATACTCTTCGTTGCCTTTTTAAATAATAAAAGCCTTCATTTTATAACGTCACAAAGGTTCCAAAAACGAATTCAACCGAGTCTTATCTGTTATTTAACGAAAAGTTCCGATCTCTTTGCTGTTTTGTCCAAGACGTTTTGCAACACTCCAGTTGATAAACAAAGCCACGTGTGGCAGGGAAGTTTCGAAAGTGGGCGGGGCTTGTGTATTTCCGGGTTCTGACTCGGAGGATATAAACCGAGTTGCGCAGTGACAACAGAGGGATAGAAACACACCGACGAAAACCGCTTGAACGCGCAGCAGCAAAAAGCAGAGACCTTTATAGACTTTTTCTCCTTCAACTTGCTGAAGCCACTCAGCCAACAACATGCCTTTTCTCGGACAGGACTGGAGGTCCCCGGGTCAGAACTGGGTAAAAACCGAAGACGGGTGGAAAAAGACAACAGTGGATGAGAAAAACAACAACGTATCCTTGGAGAGGTGGGTCACTACAAAGATCTGCGCCTTCTGCACATTTTGACGTTGCGCAACTTTAGTTTAGTTTAATTTGAGTAGGATGGAAAGGAGAAGTTTTGAGGGAAGTCCAAACTGCATTATGAACAAAAGCGGGTTGCAGGCCCACCCCTTTCTGTTGGTTTCTATTAGTATTTTTTCTGGTTGCCAGGTTCCTCTTCAAGGCTAATCACTGAGCTATTAATAACTCCACAACAAGTGAAGGGATTAACAAACACTGCCTGGAGACTTTCCAAAATGACTACACTCGCTTTCTGACACGAAAAGCCTGCGTTTGACCATGACCCCAGCTGAAAGGCAGATGGAAATAGCCTCTGTTTCTCTTGTGTTGTGGCCAAGTGCTGCACTGAGCTCCGTGCTCCGCACAAATGATTAAAATATGCCCCTTTTAATATAAGCGTGTGTGTTTTTACAGCTTTTGCAAAGTCAAGGAGGAGCGTTTCAACGAGGAGAACCTGCTTCTCTCTCTCAGCTATGACATGGCTGCCAAGAAGAGGAAGAAAGACCTAATGAACAACAACACCAAGGTCCCCTGTGAGTCCCGTCGAGAGGAACACTTTTTGACTTATTATTCAAGCATGGAAATCATAACATTTTCAATTATTTTTTTCCTTGCTTGTGTTCTGATAAATAATTGACCTACAAAAATCAAACTCTGGGTCAGATTTAATGACCTGATAAACTTGCAGGGATACTCTTGTTTATGATTAATTTTTCCAGCATTTCATAAGCTCTCCTAACAACTATGCTGACTCTGAAATTGTATCCCATCTGTTGTGCATGCTTATGCATTTGTCACCGTGCTTGTAGTCTGCTTAATGAGGGCAGTCCACTAATAATCACATTCTCCCTCCCTTCTTGCAGATTTCCACAGGGAGAAGTGGATTTACGTCCATAAAGGAAGCACCAAGGAGGTAACACTTCTGCTCATTTAGTTCCACACAAACTCAGTTGCTAATGCAAACAAGCTGAGAAAACTATACTCTTGCGGAGGATTGCCATCTAATACTCTGTTAATTAAATTCTCCCAGCGCCACGGATACTGTACGCTCGGAGAGGCCTTCAATCGTTTAGATTTCTGCAGCGCCATCAAGGACACGAGGAGATTTAATTACATTGTCAGGGTGAGTTTTGATCTCTTTCTGTTTGTCTTCCACTGGTTAATCAAAGGCGTGTTTTTTTGCCTGTGGCTTACACGGGGTTAAAGGGAAGAGGGTGTGTAGGCTTCTGTGAAGCTCTTATCAATGCTCTCCAGACGAGGGGTCTCCCTGTGGTGATCATACTGACCCAGGGTGTGTGTGTGTGTTTGTGTGTGTGTGTTTGGGGTTTTGATTGCTATAAACAATTTGTTGTCTATATTAACTTGAAACCAGGTCCCTGTCAAAACCTCTTCTTATAACCTGAGACATTTAAGTGTGGTTTCAATGTTGCCATGGATGACATTGTTAGGTGTGATGTTGGGGCATTTTCTTGGTCCACACACAAGTTGCCGCTCATTCACCAGGCCCAACATGTGCCCCATGTGAGCCGGAGGCTGCATGTGGCTGTCCTCTCAGTGCTAGCGAGGGGGGGTTTTGACAGCTGTATGCTGAGGTGTGACCGCTCTGCGGGGGTTTATGAAACCAGATCCCATGGTTGTCAGGTGGTTCAGGCCCCCAAACACACACACACACGCACTTTCCTGTCCCAGATTAATCCTCCTCTCACTCTTCCATTGACACACATTTGTCTCTTCTCACACAAACCACCACTTTAATCTGTTTTTAATGCCTCATTAGCCAGATCTCTTTTTTTGGCAGGACATGGAGAATCAGGCTTTTGTCTTGTTTTTTATTTAAGAAAAATGTTATTGCTGAGTCTGTGAATGCAGCACGAGGGATGGAGCGTTGTAATGTTACACGTGCACAGCATTACTGACAGGTGGATTTTGTCTAGTCATCCAAAGAGAGCGGTGTAGTGTGGTGAACCCAAAGAACAGTAGTGAGTAACTCAAGATGCCGCGTCCAGTCTGGACACGGTGTCCTAGGTCACCGCTTTTCACCGTCTGATGGCATTTTGTGGGTTCATTCAACCCGGTCTCAGTTACACAGATCAGATTCTACCACACACAGACAACAAGTGGCTCTGTTTATACTAAGGGCAGAGGAATGGAGGGTGTTTGAAGGAGAAGTCATTAGTGAATCTGACAATGAGTTTTCAAAGCAAGGCTTTTGTATTATTAAAAGAAGATTGACGGACTCTACTTTGCTCAGGTTGCTTGTGGAAAAAGCACGAAGGTTTAGAGAGCAGACAGAGGGTCTAAAAGTAGATACGGAAACAGGCGTTGTTTTGCCCGGCCGCTCTGTGAGTAGGGGAACACTTGATGAGCTGCGTAAAGAGGGGCATGGGATAAGGTTTTAAGAAAGAGGCTGGAAAGAAAAGGGATAGGGTAAATTTTTTTTGTTTTTTTTAGCTGAAGGATTGAGCTAGATTACTCTATTAAGACTTCCAACATATTACTGCACTTCCATGTACCTTTAGAGTTATTTGCAATAAACCAGTCGACTGTCAGACCTGGTTTTAATGCACCATTTAAAAAGAGCATTTTTAAAAAGAGTTTTTGGATTGCTCAACTGTTGGGCTCAGTATCCAGATCAGCTGGAACTTGACTTTCTCCATGACGTGGCCGCGTCCGTTGCATGCCAGACATGCCACCCTGGAACCCGCTGTTTGTCTGCTAGCCAGTGGCAACAACAGCAGCACAGACGTGCACAGGCACACTCAAGAATACACAGACACACACATTCTGTGAAAGGATTCAGCTAATTCACATGACGGGAGGATCAGGAGTCAAATGACTAAAAGCTAGTTTGTGGAGGCTGTTGCTGACGGCCTCGGCTTTTGTCCAACACCTTTCCAGCAGCTTTTCTTCCCCCTCGAAAGCTTCTCTGATCGAGTTTAGAGTAATGAGCCTGTGGAGTGTGTCCAAATTTGTCCAAGACTACACTCATTGTAAGGAGTACAAGTGCCTTTGTAAGAATATAACCTAAGAAACATGAAGGAATGAAGCAGTGGAACAGAGAGTCTTGGCAGCTGACGGCCTGAAATTTATGTTGTGTTTCTTTCTTGCTGCATCTTTCCTTTGTCTACTGTAGCTCCTGGAACTTATCGCCAAGTCCCAGCTCCCCTCGCTAAGCGGAGTGGCGCAGAAAAACTACATGAACATTCTGGAGAGAGTGGTTCAGAAAGGTGAGCCCAGTCTCCTTGTTTGGTTATTTTTCCTCCTCACATTGCTGCTGTCCGGGGCTTAAAGTGGCACATGTGTTGATGATATTTTAACTTTAATTGTATTATCGTATAAAGTGTAAACACTTGTATTGTAAGTTTGGCAAAGGTGAAGCGGTCTTGCTCACTTGTTTGCCCCAGTAGTTGAAGAGATAAGTCTAACTGACTTCTGAGGGAGGCTGCAGATTAACCCTGGTGCTGAAATGGCACAGTGTAAAACACTGACAGTCAGCAGACCCCTCAGCAAGCCGCTGTGTAAACTGAATGTTCCCTCTGATAAACAGTGAATCAGGTTGTTTAGGTGCTGTTATGAAACCTTATGGCCAAATGTTAGGAATATAAGAAGGGATTGCAGCCTCTACAAAACATTTAGTTTGTTGCTGTGCTTCTTGATGATGCAAAATAAGTATCTCACTCTTGACCAGTTTGTTCACGGTTTAAAACCTCACTTGGGATCATTATCATTGTGTTTAATCATCTGCTGTTATTGGCTCTCCGCAGTCCTTGATGACCAGCAGAACGTCCGGCCCATCAAAGAGCTGCTGCAGACGCTCTACATCTCCCTGTGTGGTCTGGTTCAGGACATGGGCAAGTCTGTTCTGGTGGGGAACATCAACATCTGGGTGCACCGCATGGAGAACATCCTTCAGTGGCAGCAGCAGCTGGACAACATCCAGATAAACAGGGTCAGCATCTGCCCGCGGCGCACAGTCAAAGACGTGCTCTGCGGAGCTCAGATGAAATGGCCGTTATGTTTACGCCCCTCTCTGTCTCCCCATCAGCCCACAGCAGTAGGCCTGACTCTGACCGACCTGCCCGCCAGCCTGCAGCTGGACATCATGCAGCGTCTGTCGGACGGCAGGGACCTGGTCAGCCTGGGCCAGGTGTGTCCGGAGCTGGGCACCCTCACTGAGGACCGGCTGCTGTGGAAGAAGCTCTGCCAGTACCACTTCACCGACAGACAGGCATGTAGATCCACCTCATTGGGTGTGTGAGTGCTCTGAGTGTTGGCTTAAATAAAGCTAGATTCTCAGAGCGGATGCTTTCTCTCCTCTTGGGTCACACCTTTAAAGTCTGCCTTCATCTCTTTTAGATCCGTAAGCGTCTGATGGTGTCAGATAAAGGCCACCTGGAGTGGAAGAAAATGTACTTTAAGCTGAGCCGCTGCTATCCTCACAGAGAGCAGTACAGCGACACCCTGCACTTCTGCACGCACTGCCACATCCTTTTTTGGCAGGTAGCGTATTTAATCTCCATCACTCTCCCGCAGATGTGAAACTGAAAGTCTACTGTTTGTGCAGCTGCACTTTCCATGTAAAATCTGTCAGAAGGTGGTAATTTAGAGTGAATAATAGTTTTTTTTTTTTTTTTTGTGGTTTCATCCAGGACACAAAGCACCCCTGCACAGCCAACAACCCAGAGAGCTGCACCACGTCCCTCTCCCCTCAAGACTTCATCAGCCTCTTCAACTTCTGATCCCTACTCCACACACGACCCCGAAAAAGGGAAAACCTGAATGAACTGACTGTACATATGGTTTCTGTACATAGAAATGCACAATGTTTTTGTTTTTCATATCAAAATCGAGTCCTGGATGTACATTTAGTTGCAGCGTGGCTGGAGGGGGACGCAGGCAGAGGGACACTTATGCAATTTTGTTCTATTTTTTTTTTTTTTTTTTATCTTTTGGACGAGTACAGAAGCTTCTGGAAACGTTCACCCCTGAGAGCAAATGAATGTGACGAAGCCCTTTAGTGGTGTATAAGCAAACCTGCTTATATGGTACATGGTGCAGAGAAAAGGAAAAAGGGAATATCAAGTGACACAGTTTAGTCTTAGTTTTACATGTGTTTTTGGATATGACGTCATTTTTCTTTCCGGAGGGTGAGTTGATTTTGTTAAATTCATATATATATATATTTATATATATATATAAATCTGCTTTTCAGCCTTTTTAAAAAAAGTTTGTTTCGATATAGGAAGTCAGATGATTGATGTGTGTGAAACTGAATGAGTCTGCAGCCTCATTTATGCATCGGGCTGGAGAAAAGCATCCGTTAATTGGCTGCAGCAATAAAAGAGTAAGCAAGAAATGGAAAGTAATGATTAGACCGAGAGGCTTGATTGACACATCACAGTCTTTATTTTTCACTTTTATATGGTTTTGTTACCTTCTTAAAAAAAAAACTAAAAAAACAGTGTTCTGCTATAGCAGTTCTGGCTGCAGCACCTGAGTGCAGTATTACCAAAGATTCTAATCAAAGTCAGTATAGCAATGAAGTGTGCCTTTTTTAAATTCTTTTTTATTGAGACTTGAATTTGTTCCGGTACAATTTCTGTCTAGTTGGATATGCTTTCAGATCCAGATGCTATTTTGGATACTGTTTGTGTTTTTGTTTTGTTTTTTTTATTATCGAAGTGTGCAACGTCTCACTTTCAGAGTAGATCAAATCTGACGCTCTGGTACCCGTGCTGAATATTTTTCTAAGGCCTCCTGCATGCTTTGTTTTTTTTACTTTTCGAACACCCAGCTGATTGTCTTTTCACTTTTTAAATTTTTTTTCAATCTATTCAGATTTTAGTCAGATGTTCCCCTCGCTCAATTGGGTGCGAAGAAGTGAAAATTGTTAGTGTAAACATAAAGTTTGAGTCTGAGTTGCTTCTGTCACAGCTCAGAGGAATAACGTCCATGCTATGCAATGCCGTTTGTTCATGTTCTGTTGAATAAATAAAAAGACTTTATCAGTTATACCTTGTCAACACTCTGTGGTCGTGGGACTGTAGGATTACTGTGAAGCACACTGGTTTTAACACATTATATTCCACAACTGTTTCACATTTCCTCCAGCTAAAAGAGAGGTGCTTGTTGAGTCTGTGGTTCCTACAGAAGTATGCCCTCTATTGGACAATCATGAGTCTTAACTACTCCACATAAAGCATTCTTTATACCTAGCAGGGCTTTTTTTCGTTTTACTCTACAGTAATGGGACGCTCATGCTGAAAGTAATTACCATTATTACTACATCTGGATAACTTTAGATTTACCTTTTGGCTAAGTGTCTCAATCACTTATCATATTTGATTATTTACCAAACATGGCTCAGGTCCGGTGGCCTTGAAAAGGCCGGCCTGCTCTCCAGTTTCTGTTACGCTATGAGTTCAAAGAAACAACATTCGCATCTGCATTAAAACTTTAATCATTCTTTACCATTAGTTTTTATTGAAGCAGTACAGCTGAAGTCAAAACCAAAAAAGAAAGAAAGCTTTTTTTTTTGTTACAGGAAAAAACATTTTACTTCCTCAAACACAGTATTCTTTAAATAACATCTATACAAACGTCATGTCAATATTAATTTTATCCAGAAATTCGTTTTAGTACATATGTCACAGTGTGCAACATTGCACATACAGTACTGCCCTGACCTTCAGGGGTGTATAGGTAGCTTCTATGGATTAGAACATCTGGAAGCATGATGTGTATGACTGAAAAGGCATGACACTGCTGTCAAAGCAATTATACACCAGAATTATTTTAAGGCCATATAAATGGGTAGTTTCGCTTTGATGAGGCTGCCTCATCATTATATTTTTCATTAACCTGTTGAACAGATTGGATGCAAAACTGCCCATTGTCACATCAAAAAAGATGCCAGTGTATCAATGCTTTGAGATTGAAAAAGAAGACAATGCTGAAGCTGACGTCTCACCTTTTTTAAGATGGGCACTATTTTTCTTCAATATTCATCAATAACCCTGTTTATTTTTCACTGTCATCATGCATGCATATCATTTATAGATAGTGCCCAGTGTAAACACATCACAAGCAGCAGTAGCATCTTTCTAATTTCAACTTCCACTAACTGTACAAGACTCCAGTGTTTGACACTGGAACAACTAAAGCCATTAGGGTTTTTTGCATATCAGTAATATTTTACAGCATGATGGCTTAATCAAACAAAAGAAAAAGGTCACCTTCTGCTTCTGCATCAAGTAACATTGAAGACAAAATATGACGTCAAAGTAAAATGTGGAAATGAATGGGACTTTCAAAGCTGTCACATCAGCTGGGGTCATGAGGTTAGTATCAACATACATTGTTTAGTGATGGCTGAATTAGTCTTATTCACAAGACTTGCCCACTGAACTCCACACAGATATGCTTTGAAACCAGTTCAGCTTTGGCAGAAGCAGACTTTCTGGCACATTGTCCAAAGGTGTGAGAGGTGAGAATCCATGAGGCATCCAGGTGGCTGAAGAGCCAGCTGCTAAGGGTCTGGTGATGCTGGAGTACCCCCTTTTGTTTTTGAGCTGCAGATTAGAAAGCTTCCATCACTGCAGAGTTGGAGCCCTGTTGGTACAAATCAATAAGAAACAGCACGTTCTTGTTAAGGGACATAGCACGTTCTTGTTTTTTTAAGGTAATATGCAGTGATTGGAAGAAAACTTTGGAAAGTAACGCAAAGAGAAGAATTACCAGTGTTAATAAATGTCAGAGAGGTACGTTCTCTGTCTCAGAGTTCTGAATTATCCACTCAATAGCATCCCAGCCCTACACATTCAGACAGAGAAAGACCGATTTAAGAGGAGAAAAACACAGAAACAGCTGTCCAGGTACCATGCATGCAGTAAAGACACAACCAGAGAAAGAGTCCCATTTTCAAGGAAAGAAATTAAAGAAATGCAAAAGAAATCACCGGCAGAGTTTTTAAGCACTTAAATCGGAATTCTTCAAGTGGACTGTGAAAGCTGGCACATGTTTGGTCATTATGTCTTTACTAAGAGAGTTAAAGAGGGCCTGACTCTAAACCGCACAGAGTTAAAGATGAATCTCTGCAGATTGATTTTTTACCAGCAACCTCAAGAAAAGCTTTTGCCAGTACGTTGATGAGTATCGCAACACTTTTTGCTGTGAGCTCAATAGCTTTCAGTTCCCCCTTGGGAAATTTTTACCCCTGCTAACTCCCCGTTAAGTTAGCTTTTTGATTGCTGTTTTCAATCATATCAGTAGGCTCTCAGTTTAATTTGGATGATTGTGAGGCCATGGGAAAACATTTAACTTACGACTTTAGAAGCCGACTAGCGTTGATTTGAAGGTTTGTTTAGAATCATTATTGTTATTATTGTTGTTTTACATTGTGGGGGGCATCTTATCTTGTGGTAACAATGTTTTGGTTGCATCATTCTGTTGGCATTCTAATTAAATAATTCATCAAGTTGCAAACTTCCATCTTTCGAAGTCAAATTAAGAGCGACCCATCCGCGTCCATAGAGACAAACAGGGACAGTTTTCTTGTAAATTGTTTCTTGGTCTTAAGAATTATAAGTTGGCTAAAATCCTTGTTGGCTACTATTATCCACTGCATTGAAAATGGCTTAAACTGCTTTTTCTTGTACCTGCAGTTTGCTCAGTGGTGCTGATTGTTGAGACAAGTTTTGAGCAGTCTCTTAAAAAATCCTTTCTAAACCATGACTGTGTTGAGGTGATATTCAAAACAGGCTCTTTAAGCTCAAATAACTTATCTAAGAGCTCAATCGTCTTTTTCTAGTTTACATTTTTAGACCGTGCAACAATTCTTTGTAATTATCAAAAAACTGAGGTGACACAATTTAGAAATAATCCTGTCTTATTTCTTAGCATTGTCTTTAAATTTAAGCCTTGCAGAAATGACTCCATCCTGGATTCACCTTCTGTTGAATGATGCACCGAGTGTGACCAAACTAATGCGCACTATCGTACACGTGGGTCCTTTCACATGAAGACTTTGTATTGTTTTACCTTCCGGGCGTTTGCAGACATGCTCCTGACCATCATTCCCTCCAGGTAACTGCTCAGACTGACTCCCTTGACAGTGATGATGGCCTCCTGCGTCAGGACCGTCCTGAGGGGCGAGAGGTGGAAACCACAGAGATTCAAACAGAGAATGAGCTAGCTGTGGCACTTTGAGCTCACACACCCACAGACGCCACAGTAACTGTGTGTTCAACGCTGAGACAAGACTAAGTCTGAGCACTCTTAGCAAAAAGAAACGCTGTTGAATCTAAAGTGTACCTACACCTCCGGGTTGTCTGGATGCGGTCTGTAAACAAGCCTCTCATCCACCGATATTAGGTTGGTGAGAGTAATCTGGGGGGAGAGAAACAGTCAGATTTACAGGAGTCCGATTAACTTGGGGAATTATGTTGCAATAAGGGTAAACGCTGGGTCTGAACTCACATTCGTTGAGCACAACTCCATCTTTTTCTCATCTGGGTCGACTATTGAATGCTCCTTCACGTATGTCTGTGTGTGGTTGGTCCCCAGAATCTAGGCAGAGAGACGGACACCAGTCAAAGGACCCGCGTTACACCTCAGCTCCCACAAATACGTGTCAGGGGTTTGGGACTGACCGCTCGGACGATACCCGGCAGCCCCCACTCCGTGCTCAGCAGTCTGTGGCTGTGGAGGCGTCCCTCTGCGTCCAGGTTGCGATCCAGCACGTCCACGCCCACCACGTTGGGGTTCATGGGGTTGGGGTACTTCCTCATGGCAGCCTTGATAACCGTCTCCCATGGGTAGCTGCAAACAAAGGAGCAGAATGTCACAGTTACAGTCATTTCAACAAATGATCAACTAGATTTCAAACCCTGTCAGTAGTAACTCTTGCTATAAAACAACAGTCAACCTCTTCAGGGCTCATATTCCTGATTTTAATTCTCCCACGGGTGGGACAGACCAACCGGAAACGCTCATCGGTGATTCTCAGCTTTTATTGCAGCACTTTATTATCAGCCGGAGTTCAAGCACCTCCATCCCAATTAAACAACAACGTTTTATGCGGCACTAACCTGAAAACATGCTCAGTGCTCCAGATCTTCATAATTAAGCTGACCGCCTCGCCCTTATGAATAAACACTCGTGACCTGAAACTGCATGTTACCGGCCCATCACCGCTTCAGGAATGGGCCCCGGTGAGAGGAGAAGCGGGGCCTGCTTTGTGCTGGAACTCACGACGCTCATCTATCTGAGTCCAGGCCACGCGTCTCCACTCGTCCTGCGATGACACACTCGCTCGAGGACCTGCAGCTGCTTCACGTGCATCAGCCGCAAAATTGTGCAGGGAACATGGAGAGGATAAATAAGTGCGAGGACGGGAGAGATGCCGGTGCCGTGGAGCTGCAGCCAGGCGTAAAGCGCGAGGGTGTTAGATGCAGGATCCTTGTCAAGCATACGCAAAAATAAGACTTACGTTTAACTTGCGTCAGAGACTTAGGAGTATTCCTAGTTAGAGATATGGATCTGAAGCTTGTGTCGCCTTTAAGCAGCACGATGTGAGTATTTTAGTACATGTCTCTGGTGGATGCGCTGTTTCTGAGTGAAACAGCTGTCAGTAGGCTACCTTTAGTGTGGTGATCCCACAGAAAACCACCCCGCCGCTTTTCCTGTGAGGTTGGTGTACGGGGTGACTTGACGGAGCTGATGCTCCGCCGCTGCTGCATCCGCCTCCCTCTGTGCGCATGCGCGGTGCATCTTTCCGTCGCGCCCGGACAAGTGGACGCAAACGCGCGGAGCAGCGTCAAGCTGCCCTGGGATAGTGTGACCCAGACCGGAAACGATGTGATGCCACCTTCAAAAAAAACCAATACGTGTGCGCGAAGCATACATACATACATACATAAACCTGTTATTTATTAAATAGTGTGAACGTGTATTTGAGTTTTAGTCTATGGTTGATGCTCTAATAATGAGATTAGGCATGTCCCTATTTGTGTGACAACACGTGGACTGGATCCCATCCCCATGCCATCCCAAGCACAAAGGTGTCCTCTGCAAATGCATAGGTGGCCTTGACTTTTGTAATAATTCAAAAGCAGATATAACTCAAAGGTTACATCCTGGAGAGGTTTCATTCATTGACCTTTTTGGGTGCTGAATCCCCTCACAGCGCCATGCACTGTAGAATTGGAGAAATCAGCGCTTCTTGTAGTGTTGTATACAAAACAAAAGACTGAGCTTGATGCAGTTTGATTATATAAAGATTGCAGGGTGCAGAACAAGATTGGTGACACTTAAATTCGACGAAAATGTATGTCCCTCTTTGTCTCTCTCACATGTTTAAAATTTTTACCTAAGTGAATGTGCACTGGTGTTTATTTGTGGTGTTTGTGTAATTAAAGCAGCCACCAGATGATTTGTATATAAATAGGGAGTGGTTGTAAAGAAGTGTGTCTTCCTCCCTTTCCCTTTCAAGCTAAATGCGTTTGTTGTTTATGTATAAATACATGAACAATGTATGAAATAATTCACTGGAAAACTCAGACAATGCTTTGTTTGTACGGTACCTTGTCCATGTATTGTACACATTTGTGTATACACTGTATGTTTGTATACATACTTTATTTGTTTGTTCCTTCTTTATCCAATAAGGGGTTTTATGTGGCTCGAAATAAATAAACTGAATCTCAAACTTACTGGAGAGCAAATTATATTAAGTCAAATGTTTGAAGTAGTTTAAGTTGTGGCCTCTGTGTATTGTTTTGAAAGTTTGGCCGGAAATGGGGGCCCTGTTCACGTTTGCTTTGAGACTGGCGTTTCAGGGATCCGAGGTGCAATTCCTAGGAGCAGACTGGCGGTGGAGGCTAGTATGGTCCCTGGATGAGAAAGTCGTGCCGTCGCCGTTAATTCAGCGGCCCGTTTGTTTCCCACTGGATCCGGACCATCTGATCAGCTCCAGAAAAGGTGACCGGCTGACCAGAAGCGCAAAGCACGACCTTGCGCTGCGTGTCAGAAATTGCGGACTGGGTTTTTTTTCTTGAAGCACCTGAACGGTAAGATACAAAGCATCCTCATCCGTGCGGGCTGTGCAGGGGAGCAATGTCGATAGATTCCGTTTTCCTGGAGGACGCAGACACCCAGCTCTGCCTAAGACTGTAGGGCCTCTGACTCTAATGGAAACGCCTGGGTATCATTACAAAACTCCTAAGACTGAAACTACTCAGGAGAAAAGAAAGGAGAGAAAAAAGATGAGGCCTCGAAATGAATGCTGGAGCAATTTTAGAGGCCAGAATATTTTTTCAAGGATAATGATGTATCAAAAGATAATCTCCCATCTATATGAGCAGAGTCCGTTTAGATGGATGAATTACGAGATTGCTTCATTTTTTGGGGGGGATAGAGATGTCTGATTCTTAGTTTAACCGTTGAACGAGTGTTGGATGGCAGATGCTGCAGCGCCGCTTGATCCGGGCTGAGGAGGAGGAGGAGGAGGAGGAAGAGGAGGAGGGGGCTTTTTTGGGGGGATCGTTAAATCGCACCGCGCTCCGCTGCCCATCAGCCTATGCGTCTATCTGGGCCTCTATCTGAGATGACCCATTTCGGTCTGACAATCCCTCATTGTCATTTGTAAAAGCTACGGGGCGAGCTGTTGGCGGTGTTAAGCCTAATTTGCTGACACATGCGCTCTGCCGGCCGCTGCTCCCCGCCTTTGTGCGCAACGAGAGATGTACAGCTAATCTGTCAAGGCCCGATGGGACCACGCACTCCCATAGGTTCAGAACTGCTCTCCTGAAAGCCTAAGAGTTGTCCTTTGACGGTTTTATGACCTGTATTTGAAATTTGTATCAATGCAAAATGAAAAAATATAGCCTTTGTAATGATAAAACAGAAATAAAGAAAGTACCAAAGATTCATTTGGTAATGTCTGATCACCAGAACACAATTCAAAATGCTCATTGATGCAAGATTTCTGAGATCTCAACTTTCACACGTGTCTGTTTAATTTCAGGTTGTCTGCTCCAGCCATGGAGATTGTCACACATTTGATTAATGACACCATAGAGCTCTACAAATGGACCCTAACTATTGCAGGTAATGCCTTTAGATATTTGTCGTGCCAAAGAGAGGTATGCTGTGGAGAAATGTCAATCAGATGCTTTTTTATGAGTATGCTGGTGCATGCCCTACAGTACACTATATATAGATCTGCAGGATTTTTTTTTCCCGGTTGTGAGTCAGAATCTGCATCAGTTGTAGGAGAATTGCTAAGGAATGAGTCACAGTTGTATAGTGTTGCTGAAAATATGTGCTTGATCATACAGTACAGTGCAAAAGTTTAATTTACATTTATTTCGTTCAATTTAGCTTCCTCAGAGTCAGACTTTCTTGAATTTATCTTGAGCAATAGTACTCCAGACTACTGAAGCTCTTTGATAATGACTGCGGACCTTGACTTTTTTTCGCCTCCATTCCTGCCATGTCACACTTTAAAAGGAATTTTACAGGAGACTGTCAAAAGGCTTTAAAGAATAAGTCATTCATAAGAAAGGAAAACAGGGAGAAAAAGCTGAGGTGTGCCCAGTGACATATCACAGAGAAGAGTTCTGTAAAATCCTTCAGGAAGCCTTGAGAAGGGTTCCAGAAGACTGCTTCAAGAAATGACAAGGAAGCTCATCTAAGTGGATTCAGTTCAGGCTATGCTAAAGAATAAAAATGATCCTATTTAAGTTCATACTCACATATCCTGGAATTGTGTAAAGATAAGAGGTTTGGCGAGTATGTGAATCATCACATTTGCTGAACTGTCCTACATTACTATAATGTTTTTTAAACATTGAAGCTCTCTACCTTTTCCGAAGTAAAACGTGATACCAGTAAATTATTCCAGCTCCCATTTCAATTAGCAAATAGTGCCTGAACTGACACTGTGTCAGAGTAATGTTAACAGTAAAAAGGTTTACTGTTGAATAGTCATGTGAGAACATCTGTCCCACAGACAAGCGTGTGGAGAAATGGCCTCTGATGGACAACCCGCTTCCCACGCTGGCCATCAGCACCTCGTACCTGCTCTTCCTTTGGCTGGGGCCCAAATACATGAAGAACAGAGAGGCCTTCCAGCTTCGCAAAACCCTTATAGTCTACAATTTTAGTATGGTCTTTCTCAACTTCTTCATCTTCAAAGAGGTAGATCTAATCATGTTTTAAATGTTCAAAACTTTTATCCCGATGGGTTACACCTCTCTCATGTGTTTTGGTTACGTGTATTCCCTTATTTCACTGTTTTAATAGAAATACTCTCTCGTTGTTTAGCTGTTTATGGCAGCGCGGGCAGCACGATACAGTTATATTTGTCAACCTGTGGACTATTCAGAAGACCCCAATGAAGTCAGGGTGAGTATTTGGTGTTGAGACAGCTCACAGATCTGAAATACAAACACACATTCCCTCGCAGAAAGTGTTCATAGTATCAGCTTGTACTCGCTATGAGAAGAAACCAGAGAGACTCTCTAATCTTTGCGGGCTAGACCTTGTCTTTTGGAAGGCCATGGCAGCCAAGCATGTCCAAGCATTTTTTAGTTCTTGACACATGATCAGCTTCCGCCAATTTGGATCACGGTCTTGTTATCAGAAAAAGCACTCGCTGAAAGAGCGATCAGTTTTCAGTTTCACCTACTTCTCCGTTGCTCCATGACGTAGTTCCCTGCTTGACACAAAAACCAACACACCAGTGTCAAGTTGCCCAGAGGCAACGATGCTGAAAGAAGAAGCAGAACAGAAACATGCGCCCCTCACCTAAGAGTAGTTTCTGATCATATTCTAACTTAAAACGATGCACTTTGTGTTAGCGTTTCCTTTTGAACGTCTTTGCATCTGCCTACTCTCTGTTTGCTTTTGGAGACAGGTGGCCGGAGCGCTGTGGTGGTATTTCATCTCTAAGGGCATTGAATATCTGGACACTGTGTTTTTCATCCTGAGGAAAAAATTCAGCCAGGTTACCTTCCTGCACGTGTACCACCACTGCACCATGTTTACACTCTGGTGGATCGGCATAAAGTGGGTGGCGGGAGGCCAGTGTGAGTAGACCACAGCATATGTCAACATTAGCCCTTAAACTCGAAGCTGTTGCGATCTTAACCCACACTAACCCAGTCAGCGAACTACAAACATTCTCCAATCTGAACTACGGCCACAAAGACACAAATGAAAGTCTTTCCTAATAAAAAAACAATCATACTTTATGTTTATGGAGTCAACACAGAGCCAACACACAGACAGGGTTTCTTTATCCTTAGTGTGTCAAAATCCAAACCAAAACTACAAAATACTTATGTTTCCTAATAAACTCATTATTACTTTAAGCACAAAATGGAAACATTTTTTACTTCCTATATCTCTGCACACTGGATAAGACAAAGCTGTAAAATGGTACAGATGAGTTTTTCTTTGGGATTACAGTTAACATAACATGCGGTGGTTGCTTTGCTTTCTCCTACTTTCAGCATTCTTTGGTGCGCACATGAATGCTCTGATCCATGTGTTGATGTATCTGTATTATGGCTTGGCCTCCTGTGGACCTAAGATCCAAAAGTACCTGTGGTGGAAAAAGTACTTGACTATCATCCAGATGGTAAGAAGTCCCAGCCACAGTGAAAATGTATCAAATAAATGCATTTTCAGTAGTACTGACTTCTAAACCTCAGTAATCAATCATTTTGAAAGTACTATCCAGAGCTTTGTTTCTCTGTTTTATGTCTCAGGTTCAGTTCCACGTCACCATCGGCCACACAGCCTTGTCGCTCTACGTAAACTGCGACTTCCCCCACTGGATGCACTACTCCCTCATCTGCTACGCCATCACCTTCATCATCCTGTTCGGCAACTTTTACTACCAGACCTACCGCCGCCAGCAGCCCGCACGCCGCGATGCCTCCTCCTCCTCCAAATCCGGCAGGGCTCTCTCCAACGGCGCCCTCAACGGGCTCAGCAAGACCCCCAGCGGAGCAGCCCTGATGAGCAGCAAAGATGAGAAGCCTCAGGAAAACACAGGGAGGAGGAAGAGGAAAGGACGTGCCAAAAGAGATTAGAGCAGGACAGGAACAGGCGAGCAAGGGCCTAGCTTTGGCTTTTAGGTTGCTACTGCTTAATAATGACAGACTTAATTCGTGGAAGATCTAGTTAAAATGGATGTTTTCAGGTGAGGTGCATTTCTTTAAGCCATGATCTGAGTTGTTGTAGATACAAAATCAATGCAAGTCTTCGGTCAGAGAGAAAGATTCTGCCCGTAGGAGGTGTCAAAGGTCATACCTTAGATGACCAAAAATCCAGTCAATGGGGCGTGGGATAGATTTGGGTATTCCTTCTCGTTATTGTGGCTCTGGCTCAGAATGGGACTTGCAGCAGTCAAACTCTGAGTCTGAACAGGAAGCAGCAGCTCCCAGGCTCAGCGAGGAGGCCACTGCAGACACCCCTGAGCAGTGTGAAAAGCAAAACTTTGCACACTGCTTTAGTGAGACAGGAATACACACAAACGCGTCAGACATGTCAGTTTCTATTCGAACATATTTTGCGGACCGGTTGTAGAGATTAAGTGGCGACCGTAGTCGACAGCGCCGGGTCACTGCTGTCCTCTTCTTTATCAAGTTAGTCCATGAGACTTTTATGTTTACATTTAATTTTTTGCTGTTTCCTGTTTAATTGTCCTCATATTTTTTCTGAGAAACTGTCGTTTTTATCCTTGTTTTTGGGGGGATTTGGTTTCTCACCTTTGAACTGACACCCATTGCCAGCTGTCAGCTCAAGTGGTCAGATGTAAATAGAAACATTAAACATTAAAACCAAATGTGCGACACTTTGTAAACCGTATGATACTGTTCTACTGTGGTTTCAAGATGGAATGGTTATCAGCTGATCTTTTGTTCTTATTTCCAAATACAACATAATCCATTTTGTATTTGTCTGTCATGTGATGAAATGTAATGGGTATTTATCCAGAGGAATGCTGAATCCGGAGTCACTTCCCCCTTCGCGGAAAGGCAGGTGGAGTTTTGTCCTCGCAGATGTTTCCCCTGTCTTTTTTTTTTACTGTATCCTCTCTGAATGTGTTGTTTGTCTTAGATGCTGATAAAAAACAAAAAAGACAAGACTGCTGTAGTGCTCTGCGTTCCCTTTTGTACCTGTGGTGAATTTAGAGCCAACCCGCAGCCATTTTGACCAGAGAAATTTCAAATATTCTAAAAAAGGTATTTTTGCCTCAACATTTTGAGGCTTAATTCATGCCCCAAGCAGGCTTGAATATACAATTATCAAGAGATTAAGATATTTGAATTTGGAAAAAGTAACGTTTTTTTATTTCTATACATAAAAAGCTGAACCTCTGCAGAGACTGTAAAATAGAGAACAGCAAATCTTGCTTTATGTCCGTCATCAGTGAATGCATTTCAGTGTAATTTATTGATTATTTATTAAGTGAATTCCACCTAGCTGAGTGCTTGTCTGTGTATTTTTCTTCTTTTTGTGATATACATATTACATTGTGATATTTTGTATACTGCGCATAGAGTGGACATTTGTACGTCCAAAATGCTTCCATTTTTATTCAGTGATTCACTCATTTATTTTTTAGTATCATTACTTTTCTTCAAATTAAACTAAACTGAATGCCTGGATGATTTCTTTAGCTGTCTACTTTATAATCCCTGTATGCTCTTGGCAAGGACATCAGCTACTCCACAGACGGTGTGAGGACGTCAACACAGGAAGGCGCCACTGTACCGTCAGTTCAAATGGGCTTGCTTTGCCATGCCTCTACAATGCTCTGTTTGGAATCACCTTTTGTTACTGAACAATATGAACAAACTCATCAGAATTTATGAAAGGGGAAGAGCAGAGTAATTACTGTGCAGTTGTCAGTAGTTAACTTCAGGTTCCCGTCATGAGTTTGTCTGGAGGCGTCATGAAATCCCATCTTTGCACCATGATGCCTGCCTGCTTCCAAAATGTTATCTGTAAAATGGTTTTGAAACGCATTTCAGGAAATGTCTTGTATTTGTATTAATGCTTTATGTGTGTTGCTTTTCTTTCATTGAACAGTTGTGTTCCATGACATTGTTGTATTTAATCTTACATGCCCATCAAATATCCGGAGATATTAGAAAGTTGATATTGCTCAGTGTAATGACATTTTTAGTGCTAGTTAATTGTGCCATTATATTTAACAAAGAGAAAATAATCTCCACATCTATCAGTCCCAAAATTAGGGGAGTACGTGCTTTTTATTATGTTCAATCAAATATTTCTTCTGTTCTACAAACATGTGGGTGTATGGATGCATGTGGATACATAGATGAACGGGCTTTTATTTTCCAGCTGAACAACAGTAACTGTGAGACGAGAGAAAAAACCTTTTCAATTGTAATTACTATCACTCTTAAATCTGCCGAATTCTCCTCCCATTTTGATGAATGTAGACAAAGGTTTCCATGGTAACTGTACACAGCAGCTGTCTGTCTGCCCCCCACCCCATCCGTTAAAGCCCCTCCCGACTGCTCACCCCCTCCTCCACTCTCCTCTTCTTTCAGTAGGGGCTTCATTGGAAAGCACAACAGTGCAATAAACTATTGCAAGAGGTTCTGGTGCGAGTGTACGTGGGCGGAGGAGAGGAGGCTTTGGTTTGGTTTTTTTGCTCTATGAAAGATTGTGAAATGTTTTCTTTATGTGTGTGCAATCTCTCCACGGAGTTTAAGAGTGGGAGACCTATGATTGCAGAGGGATGTTTCACAGGCGATGTTAGCGTTGTTGCTTATTTCATAACTTGCCTACACAAAACCACAAGTCTCATCAACAGCTTCTTCTTTAGACTGTGTCTTTGTGCCATGCGATGCTGTTAAATATTTTCCTTACAGTCTGCTCTGGTGTATCCTTACATCTTGACAGCAAAAACATCTACGTTTAAAATAGTAGAATACAGAATACCTTAAAAATACATGTGGACAAATGTGGTCTCACAAATGCATCTCTACAATCTTCATATATTGTTCTTTTATTAGCTCTAAGTCATTTATGATGTGCACAAAGGCACTATCAGTAGAAAGTGTCTTTTGAATTGCTTGCAGTGAGCTGTCTCTGTTCTCCACCTCAAGGTAATGGAACTTATGCTTTTCAAGTAATATTATTTAATATTGATCTCAGACAGTTGCCTTTTTTGTTTTATTTCATCGCAAATTATTTCACAGGGCACAATGCTTTTGGCAGTTTTGACAGCCAACCGGGGCGGGCCACCAGGCTGCCCACACCCCCACTGCTGCGTCCCATGAGCCCAACCAGCCGCAGGCGCTCGCAGCAGTGAGCAGAAACGGAGGGGCCAGCCCCATTCCCCCTTTAAAAATGAATGAATTAATACAACCCCCACCCCTGGTGCAGCACAGGGGGCACATATGGGGTCAGCAATGTCATCACAGAGGTGTGGAAGTTTGCTTTGCCAACAACAAGTCAACAGAAATCACTACAATTTTGTTTGCAACAAAAGCCCATATACAATTTTCACCAAGATCCGACAATTTATTTAAAAAAACAACAGCAGAAGAAACTAAATACAATCCATCTGTTTGTGCTATATCTGGAAAAGCTGAAACTATCAACCAGATAGAAGAATCTTAAACTCGTAGTGTAAAGGATTCTGAGTCCAAAAAAACTGCCTTTGCTCTTGCTTTTCTTGCTGGAGGCCAATAAAAACACCCACCATCTTACAGAAAAAGGCAGAATAAAATAGTACCTTGTAGATAACATCCCTTTCAATGTTGGTTTATTGCCTTATTTTTTCATTTCATGAAATCTTCAAATGAATTGGAATTCTTTTTAGTTTTATATATGTTTTTGGATGAAAAATGGTGAGCTGACTCAGCCTAGGATGTACATTTTACAACCACTTTCCTCCCTGACCTGTTGCTGATTGTCTTTATTGCCTGTGAGATTAAAAAAAATGCGACCTAATTCCATTAGGTTTTTTTTGTGCATATAGATTTTTGGAAAGTTATTCTTTTCGGAGACAGGGATCCAACTTCATATTGATCACACATACAATTGTGAATGTATTTCCATGCACTCTGCAATAGTTGTGGGTAACAAGCTTGTACACACATATAAAGGCATACATAGCCTACACTGTGTCCCAAACAGAAACTTGTAAATCACTGTTTTGACCTCAAGCTACTTCAGGTATGCTGTAAAAAATGCTTGAAAAAATAATGCCTGATGTCGAGGTTTGGAAAAGCAAAAACAAAATGACAACAATGTTTGTTATATGAACAGATCATGACAGGTTGGAACAACCAGGACCACAGACAGATGTTGCAGAGGTGGTGCCATTGTTAGAGTACGACACAAAACACACATTTAATACTCGGCTGGGTGCACCACTGTTTCTGTACCTCCTGCCAGTTGGAATATCAGATGGCACCCGTACAGAGTTGTCACCATAAGTAAATTTCTTTCAGCTTTCAAAGAAACAACATTTCCTCCCTGTCACATGCTCACTTGAAGACAAGACCAGTGACAAGGAAGCCTTTTATAGCTCTCCAAAGAAATTGATGAATAAGTAACATATAAGACTGTGACTTTAAGAGAGTAGGCAACCTGACAGGAAAAGGGGTTTCAAAAAGATGTTTTATAGCTAATTCTCCATCTTATGAAGAGACGAATCAACATGGGGCACATGACCTGTATTCCAGAAGAAAGATTGTATTCTCAGGCAAAATACAAACATTAATTGTGGAATTAATCCAAGTCAAAATCCTTCATTGCCCTTCAAAAGCAGTAAAACGTCTCTGGGAAGGACAAACTGAAAATGAATTCCTCTGTAAATCTATCCTGACACTGTTTAACAGAAGCAATCACTGTCTGGGACGCCTGTCTACACAGTGTTAATGTGACAATTTTAGGAGAGGGTGTCTGTGAACAAAAGTGACAGTCGGCGGGTGGCTTGGATGTGCAATATGAATGAAGCTGAAGTTATTTTTAGAAGGATGTTATCAGGGCATATCCTTGTCTCACTCCTTTTCTAACAGCCTACAATCCTATTCCCCATGCTCCTGTACTCACGCCATTGAAAGTGTGTTAATTCTGGGAAGAGGGATATTTTAAAAGTTTGATATGTTTTTAATTTAAACTGCTGAATTCATTGTAAAACAGGCTGACGAAAAGCACAGATCATGATTTAACATCTCTGTATCTTATCTTTTGCCTGGCATTCGACAAAGCAGACTAATCATTGCCTGGGTATAAAAGCATCCATGGTGCAGACATCTGTTCCCCCGATAAATGCAAATGAATGAATGGTCGAGTGGCAGAAGGGAGAGTAGAATAGGGGGAAGTGGTCAATATGTGTCTCAGAGTGACAGGCACAATTAGATATTACACATCTGTCTTTCTTTTCAGAGAGAATGGATTATCATTCTTCCCCAAAGCTGGTTTACTGGCCTTGCAACATTTGGTCTAGTAATTAAAACTGGGATTACAATAGAGAGCGGTCTTGCTTTTTAACAGATCAAGACAGAGTATTTTAAAAGCTGACAGCAACAGAGGCAAATGGGCTGCACAGAGGTAGGAGGCCAGAAGCTGGGTTATGGAAGCTAAAAACCATGCCATAAAACTTTCAGAGCAGAGCAAATCCGTGCTTTCAATCCATGTCAATCCCCAACACTTCCTGCATTCTTGCTACCGTATTTTCCTCACACAGTGGCGCTAGCAACACCAAGCTGCTGTCTTTCCTTTGTTTCTTAAATTAGCTATGACAAAAAGGTCAAGTTAAAGTAGGAAGCAGGTATTTGTGCAGAAACCAAGTTCACCGGTCTGATCCATTAAAAAAAAAATGTTATTATGGATCAGTGTGCTACATCTCAATAAAAACAATTTTAGTTTATGACAGTAATTGTTGTTCTAGTTAGTGTTCAAAGACAACAGTAAAAAAAAGAAAGAAGTGACGAAACACTAGATTAATGTGTCTTAATGTCGTTTCTTAATGTGGCCCTGTAATATATGTAGGTTTTACTCCTCCTCTTGCCCAATGCCAGCTGGGAGAGGCTCTAGACCCCCGATACCCCACTAGGAATAGAGAACCTATATTAACAACCTAATTATTAACAAACAACATGATCTCATTGAATCACCTGAACCATAGTAGGAAATTCAGTAGTAATAATTAAATTACAGTAAATGAGTCACGGATGACGTTATATTTTGTTCAAGTGATGTCTAGATATGCCACAGCAGCTACTGCACAATACCAGAAATTTCATGATAGGTTTCAGATATTGAATTATAGTAAAAAAATAGAAAAAAACAGCAGCTACCTTTAAGACAAATGAAAGTTTTAACACAGCAACATAACAGTCAGTTTAAATCCACTGCCAAGGTCAGCACAAATCATTGATTAAAGGGTGGGTTTTGGAGGAGCAAGTAGCTTCGTCCAATCACGGCTCAGTTAGGGACAGACAGGGAGCCAGCAGGACAGACTGCGGGTCTTCTTCCAATGAGAGCAGCCTGCTGCGTGCAGCCTCGTCTCCGTGCGGCCCCGGCCCTCCCAGCGATGATGTAATGTCATGAATATTGAAACAGGTTGCCTGGTGGTCGGGAGGCTCTCAGCATCTCTCCTCCCAATCTCTGATACCTCTCAGCATCCGAGAAAAAAAAACACCCAGGCAAAAGGTAAGGAATTGATTTGTACTATCATTGTTTTGCCATGACAATAATTTTTTTTTACATGCTTGTACCAGTTAGTCTTATGAAGGGCAAATCTCAGTATGTGGTGATGTTAAGTTCTATAGCTCGACTCAGGCCACCAAGCTGGACTGATTTACTGTTGCTGCCTTTAGTTGTTCATTAGATGAACACTCTGCTCTATGGATAAGTCTGGAGGTTCGATTTTCCCTTGTTCAGGATCACTGGGACATTTTTCTTAATTAATCAGAGCTCACTGGTTGTTGGACACAGGCAGTCGATTCTTACCGAAGCAACAAAAGAAGCCGGCATATCACCTGATCTATATCATAAAAGGACGTTTCACAGTTCATCTTTTTCGCACTTTTCTTTTTCTTAGCTCCCTCTGCACCCTTATGAGTTGGCTTCCTGAGTCATCAGGCATGTATAGGACATGGCGAATGAGATGATGGCTGACAGGAAACGGCTTTAGTCTTCTGAGTCTTGACGTGGCTCATCTCGTCCGGGAGAGGCTTATTGTTTCAGTTTAATCGGTTTAAGATCAAACTGGGGGGGGGGCACACCAACACTGGCCGGACAGGCAGGGCAGTTTAATTGGCCGGCTGTGGCCTCAGGTCGGTGGGATTACGTCTCTGTCACACGCTGCCTGCCTCGTAGGCGCCTGCGACGCAAAAACGTGGGTTGTTTCATTAATCTGCAGCTGATCTCATCCACGGGCTGTCTAATCAAGCTGAGGCTCAATGTGCAGACACACACACACACACACACACACACACACACAGACGCTGCCCACCTGCCACAGCCCCCCCCTCCTGCATCAGCCTAACCTAATTATCCCCACATGGGTCTGGGTGAAACGCAGGATGCCAGCCCTTTTCCCATTTCACTCCTTCGGTCACGCAACAGTCAACAAACTTTGATCGATCTGAATAAAAAAGCAACCTGTTGTATAGTCGATCGCCTTTTTAGAGATTGAGAGTTTCGTTGTTTTGCAGCCGCGAAAAAAAAGGAGGATGGAGGTTTGTGAGAGTGAGCTGAGCCTTTGACACCATGATGAACCCATCATCTGCCGACTCCCCTCGGCAGCCAGACAATAGCACCCGGAAGCAGCAGCAGCGGCCGTCCTCCCCGGCCGGTCTCAAGGAAGGAGCCAAGCCCGCACAGAAGGGAGCCAACCCGGCTAAGCCCAGCGCGGCCAAGCAGGGCGGAGGAGGGGGAGGCAGAGGCAGCCGGGGTCAGTCTCCGGTGTCCGCGGGCAGGGAGCGGCAGGCCAGAGGCGCGGCCGCTGTCCAGCAGGCTGCTGTCCAGCAGGCTGCTGGTGCTGAAAGCCCGACGCTGAGCAGGCCCGTCCAGGCAACCGAAGACCAAGCGGACACGACCCGCGTTGTCTCCGACCAGCCCTGCGCGTCCAAGTCCCCCAAGCTGAGGAGCAAAAACCCCAGAGGGGTGGAGGCCGCCTCGACGACCGGCAGCAGCAAAAAGAGCTCCAAAGGAACTGTGGGGTGCGGACCCGGCTTCTGGAAAGAGGGATGCCTGCAATCCGAGCTGATCCAGTTTCACTTGAATAAGAGCCTGGGCAAGAAAGGGACAAAGATGCAGGCAAAGTCCGCCTCTCCGCCGCTATCGGAGCCGGAGCTGTCCCCAGAGCCGGACAGTCCGCAGATGGAGCCACAGCCGGACCAGAGGCTGCAGGATGAGATCGAAAGACTGGAGGATGAAAACGACGATCTCAAGGTAATAAAACATTGATGATTTAGACACCGTATTTTAACAATGGGCTGATTTAGTGCGTGCGCATGCAGCAGCCACACCTGTTGTGTTTGCACGAAGGCTGCATGACCATCGCTGCTAGTGCTGCTAACAAAGCTTATACCTGCTTATTTTCCCCCAGTGAACAGATTTATTATCAGTTGGATTCAATAAAAAACGTTGGTCGTTCATTTTTTCTAGACTGAAATTGAAGAGATGCGGGCAGAGATGGATGAGATGCGGGACACTTTCTATGAAGAGGACGCCTGCCAGCTACAGGACATGCGCAGAGAGCTGGAAAGAGCCAACAAGAACTGTCGCATCCTTCAATATCGACTAAAGAAAGCCGAGAGGAAAAGGCTCAGGTTCACAGAGACTGGCCAAGTGGATGGAGAGCTACTTAGAAGTCTGGAGCAAGACCTTAAGGTAAGTTGGAGGAACACATTTTTCATTTCGGGGTGACTGATACCTCCTTTCCTTTTCCTAATGTTTTTGTTTATTCTGACTTGCCTCATCTGTCAGGTGGCAAAGGATGTGTCAGTACGCTTGCACCATGAGCTGGAGAATGTAGAGGAGAAGAGGACAAGGACAGAGGATGAGAATGAGAAGCTGAGACAGCAGCTGATAGAGGTGGAGGTCACCAAACAGGCCCTTCAAAATGAGCTTGAGAAAGCAAAAGAGGTGAGGAGCTGAAGGTTGAGGGTTAATGTTTGTTTGACCCCTTTTTCAGACAGTAAAAGACATGTCATGCTTATCTATTGCAGAACTAAATCTGAAATTGACTAGATGGTAAACAGAGCAGTTTACTCATGCAATATATCGTCTACCCGACCCTTTCAGATAAACACATTGTGAAAACATCTTATTCTGTAGAGAAGTAAGAACTGTGATCAACAGTTCAATACAAATATTATGATCAAACCCATATGATACAGAGAATAAAATGAGAGATAGCCTTTATGCTATTTAGAAATATTAAAGCAGCTCCGACCTTATATTATAAGTATGAAACAACAAAATTCAACTTCTGAGGTATTAAACAAAGTTCACAAGCTGAGGCATTGTGTGAATTATTGAATATGCATATTGATTGCAAACATCCATTTAATTACATAGCAGATGCCTCTTTTTATTCTTGTTCACACTCATTAGGAATCTCTTTTGTAGAGATTAATCAACAACGTTTTGAGAAGATGTACACTTCTGTAACAAGGCAGTGGGCAGAGGTTGATGATAATGATGATGATGTAATCTTTATTCATGTGCAGCTCTCACTTAAAAGAAAAGGTAGTAAGGATGGTCAGAGAGCAGAGAGAAAGACTCCACAGACCCCAACTGAGGTGAGTTTAAATCTCATTGTACATCCTAAACTGTGAAATGCTCTTCAAATGCAAAATGATAATAATTGCAAATAAAACCAGAAAGTGAGCAAATCTGAATTTGCATATAAAGGACGAGAATGTGTCTGTATTTATTTATAAGTCAACTCTTCTCTGAGACATTATTATACTACAAAGAAGACCCTCAAATAGATACATTTCATTCACAGGAAGAAAATGATGATCTGAAGTGTCAGCTAGCCTTCATCAAGGAGGAAGCCATCTTGATGAGGAAAAAGATGGCAAAGATTGACAAGGAGAAGGATCGGCTCGAGCAGGAGCTGCAGAAGTACAGATCCTTCTATGGGGATGTGGACAGCCCCCTGCCTAAAGGGGAGGCTGGAGGCCCCCCCACCACCCGCGAATCTGAACTGAAGCTGCGTTTACGCCTGGTGGAGGAGGAGGCCAACATCCTGGGGAGGAAGATCGTGGAGTTGGAGGTGGAGAACAGAGGTCTGAAGGCTGAGTTGGATGACATGAGGGAGGACAGGTATGTTTTCCACATTCTTTTTTTAGGACAAGAGAATAGCTGGTGAAAAATGTAGAGATAGCTATAATGTCCGCAATAAGGAAAACTAAATGTGACACCTTTTATGTGGTAAATTAAAGAGGAATTTACATATTTGAGTGGATGATTCTTATTTTTTGGAAAAATGCATGACGTTAGACAACCAGCAAACCGAATGAGCTTTTCAACCTTGCTTTTTTGGTCTGTTTTTCTAGTCTGGCAGCAGCGGGATTGGACGGTTCCTCCAGTGGAGGCCAGCAGAGCAGGGAGCAGAGCGAGGCCCTGTCTGAGCTGAGGCAGCAGCTTCAACTGGTGGAAGATGAGGCAGAACTTCTCCGCAGAAACTTAGCAGATGTAGAGGAGGAGAACAAGAAGGTAGATGTGATAGGCCGCATTTAATGAGTTATACATCATTTCATACATATATGTATTTATTTCTATTTAGCCAAGTATTTGTGCATTTCCGCTGCTATTAAAACAGTTATAAACTGTTATTTTAGTCTTGCTATCTAACCAAGAAGTTCCTATTAAATAAGCTTGCAATATTGTTTTACATGTATCTTTAGGTGACAAATGAGCTCAATAAACTCAAGTACAAAGCTGGGTCCCATGAAGCTGGATCAAGACACGGAGGAGGTTGTTTTTTTTCTTCTTTTTTATCAGTTTTAGCACTTGTTATCAGTCATTGCCTCTAGAGATATATAGAGGAAGAGATCATTGTCTCTTATCATAATACATGTGTACAAGGTGGAAAACACGTTTTATGCTTTGAAGTCTAATTTGCAGATGTTCCACTTTTCCTCGTCTCCCCCCTCAAAACCCCAGGAGGAGCTGACCCCGTTAAGATGGAGGCCCTCCAGGAGGAGCTGAAAGCCGCGCGTTTGCAGATAAACGAGCTGAGCGGCAAAGTCATGCAGCTCCAGTACGAGAACCGGGTGCTGCTCTCCAACATGCAGCGCTACGACCTGGCCTCCCACCTGGGCATCCGCGGCAGCCCCCGGGACAGCGACGCCGAGAGCGACGGCGGGCGGGACGACGACACGCCCTCGGCCTCCGCCCCCTCCCCTCGCCTCCTGCCCCCCCACCGCAAGCGGGAGGGCCCCATCGGGGGCGAGAGCGACTCGGACGAGGTGAGGAACATCCGCTGCCTCACCCCGACGCGGTCCATGTACTCACCTGTGGACAGCCGTTTTTTATCCAGAAGCCTGAAGGACCGGCAACATATGATAGACATCCGCATTGAGGCGGAGAGGCTGGGCCGGACTATCGACAGGCTCATCGCTGACACCAGCACTATCATAGCCGAGGCCAGGGTGTACGTCACCAACGGGGAACTGTTCGCTAGGCTCGATGAGGATGAAGAAGGCGGCAGGTGAATGAGTATAAGAAAACATAATGTGAACATGAAGAAGTTTGAACACATGAAGAAGTTGAATACTTTGATAGTACTTGGAGAGTGAATACTTAGATACTCACAATATTCGATTCGACTTTTGCTCCAATAGGATCAGAGAGCATGAGCTGCTGTATCGTATCAACGCCCAGATGAAAGCCTTCAGGAAGGAGTTGCAGAACTTCATAGACCGGTTGGATGTCCCCAGGCAGGAGGACAAACCGGCTGAGGAGCCGTTGTCTGTAAGCTGACGCAAACACACCAGAGACGGCCGTTGTGCTGCCCAACAATCGGTTTCCACATCCTAACCGTCTGTCGCTCTGCTCTTCACCCCTCTCCACCTATGTGACACCCATCCAGATGTTTCAGCCAATTATTTTGCTGATCCTCATTCTTGTTCTGTTTTCCTCTCTCTCCTATGCCACCATTTTTAAATTGGTATTTCTCTTCACCCTGTTCTTTGTTCTGTAAAGCACAAGCTCATCACTCCATTATGCCCCCCTTTTTGCTCTTTATTTCTTTACTTGTACATTCATTTTAATTTTGTTATGTTGAACATATCACACAAGGTCACTCAAGGTACAGGGCAATCTCATTTTCCAAAGTATGACTCAAGCCACTCATCTGCTCGGATGCTGCCAACATTTATTGGGAACCACATAACCTGGGAGCGACAGCAGGGATTTGGGTGAGTGTGTCATTTACTTCTCATAGCATGAATAACGTCTTTTTTTCTCGCACACAATAAAAAAAAAAAGGCTCTATACATAAAATAATACACTCACAAAGTTGTATATGTCAGTAATAGTTGTCACTGTGATAATTGTGTTTAATGGGCACCTGTGAGTTGGGACACTGGTGTGTCAAATTTCATTGTGGAGCTCAATTCTGTTTGAAACGTGCTCTGTGGGTATGCAGGCTATTTATTTGTGTTTGAAAATAAGGTAAATACGATCCAACAATTTCCTTGGCAAGTCCATAGAATGTTTCAAGGAGCTATAAATCTTAGCTTGGAGGAGCCAGAGCCTATCTCCATGAGGAATAAGCAGTAAGGACAACGGATGGAATGGATGGCAACAAATCAGTTTTCTACATTTCTGAAAATGACTTTTATGTGGATTGCATTTATCTTTCTTTGCCGTTTATAGACAGCTCCCTGAAAACCAAAACTATGTTGTGTTTTCTTGGCTTATCCATCTTTCTACTGTGTATTTGTGACAGTAAACTGATGTGAGAGGACTATATTGCAATTACAAAGGTTTGTGTTGTGACTGCAGTCCAGGGCTAGGCACTCATTCTGCCCACGCACACACACACACACGGAAACACACATCCATCACTCTCCCACAATAACACTGACAAACATAAGGCCTGTGTCTCCTTTATGTTCCTCTTGAGGCATCTGTGCTGAGTCACTGAGTTCCGACAAAAAGTCAGCATCATCTGAATCAAATCATTTAGATGGGCACTGGAAATATGATAGGGCCAAGGCAGGATTTTGAGTCACAAATAAAGAGAGTTGAAGAAGGAAAGAAGCCACACGGATAAAATATCTGGGTGTTGTGAGTGTCCAATTAATTTTTTGATTATCATAAAAAAAATCCCTCTCTGGGCAGTTTACATAAAGTATTCTTATGCCTTATTCAAATAATTTTTTGATTAATCCTGACAATTGAGTCTCTTTTCATGCAGATTCTGTGTAACTTGCATCATTTGACATTTCTTGAATTCCATTTAGGTGATGCTGTATATAGTTTTGATCACCTTCCACATTTCTTTGTGGCTTTTAAGTAAGAACACTTGCTTGGGTTGTTTTGCATTCCTTATTGTTTTCAATCTCATTTAACTTGTTTTGTGTCTGTAGGGCAATTTGTGCACATTTGTGTACAGATGATTTGTATTAGTCTTAGGTGTTGGAGTGAATTCCTTTGTGGTTGCTTGTGTTAGTTTTTATGGGACACATTTTTAAATCCCTTTTTCTTTTACATTTCACCCGGGTTGTTTTGGGTTTTTTTCCTTTTTTTTTTTTGGGTTTTGGGTTTTTTTTTTTGGACCCCCCCCCCCCCCCCATTGACTTCTTATTGGACCTGTTCACTAAGCTGTCCATGAAGAGACGGGATGGTGTCTTACTCACATTAGGATTTTGGCGGTGTAACATGCACAATTGTGTAAAAATACTTTTGGGAGGGGTCTGCAAAACCAGGACAGAAATATGCTGACGGTGGATCCGTTTAACCAACTGGCCGGACCACCGGCACGGGGCGGAAGTGGTCCACTTATTTCTTCTCACCGATGGGATATTTCACGTAACATACAGTATTAGGGCCAGCTGTGCAGGGAAGAGGAGGAGAGTAGGAGCAGGAGGGAGGGAGAAGGGGGAATTTTATTTCAGTTAATGAAAGCATTATTTCAGCTGTGGGCCGTCGCTGTAAAGACTTCAGCGACGTTAGTGCATTCCAGTCCACATATCTTTTTTCTACTTTGCTGGGGGAAACGTAGGCCTATCCCTCGTGGCTTGGTTTTGAATGAGGACATTCACAGCAGCGCAGTCAGGACCATAGACACACGGTAAGGGTTCAGTCATATGACACGTGCTTTGCACTTTCTGAACTTGAATGCCATCATTTCCTAACTTACCAACAGTTGGTAACTAGCTTACAATGAGGGACGAGTCCCTGCTTTCATGCCCGAAGACCCATACTGAGTTGTACATTTGTGATAAAGCCTATCTAATTAAATCCCACCCTTCTTTTTGTTTGTTTTCCTCGTGACAGTCACCCCATAGGCAGATTTACGGCTACTTTAGTTTCGCACAGAATGGGAGAGGCAGCCAAACAAACCTTGTTTACTTACAAGGTGAGAAGTGGTTTATCTGAGGGGAAGTAGCTTTAACCTGTTTATATACTATTCTTTAAATTCAGTTTGAGTCTCTAAAAGCGAGTCACGGTTAGAAGTTGACCATGTAACGGCGACGCCGCGTGCGCGGTCTGCTCATTGACACGTTGCCATGGGCACAACGCAAAGTGGCGACGTAATTAACGCGCTCCTCTGTTGATTAGCGGATTCCCCCGCGACAGACCCTCTCGAGGCGCCGCTTAGCCGTCTGGGGCTTTCGGAAAATAAAGTGCTGGTTACAAGGGTGTAAAAATACTCCGCTGCTCTTACATCAGTGCCCTGCGTGATATTTTTGGGAACTTCTCCCTTTTGCCTCGGAGTGTTTACTGGGCGTCTGTCATTGCCAGAGCGGACGCCGAGACAGGCGTCCCGAAATCTCCGTGCGAACATGTAGAGACAAACATACAAACAAAAAGCTCCTCGAGCGAGCAGCAACAGGAGATATTTTCTATAGGAAAGAGGAAACGCCTTCGAGATAACACCAGAATTGACAGCATGACCTTGTCTCGGTGGAGATATGGAGGAGAAGGAAGCGTCCAGTCCCGTCGCGTATTCTGGCATAGCGGTGACCCTGAGTGCTGCTGTGTGGCCGGAGGGGGATTCCGCCGGGTTTGGATAACCGCTGCTTCCATTGTGACTCAAGCTGCCACCTAAAAAACTGTTTTGATACATTGGAAAGTTCACTGGACTCTATGGACACTTTACAACTTTACAGAGCAAAAATGGCTAAGTATAAAATCATTTAGAGGACTGCCCTGTGTGTTTTCCCCCTCAGCTTAATGTTTGGATGTTGAATTGTTGATGCACTTGCAACATGTGGAGTGCGTTTATGAATGGCACCGGGCTGCATAGTGGGGGTGGTGCTGGTGGGGGATACGTGCCCTCTCAGGGATGGGAGTTTGTGCCGCCGGCCAGGATGGAGAGAGGCAGGGGCAAAAACCGCAGCCCGCTGAGGAGGGTCTCCTCTCCACCCACCGTCTTTAGTCAGGTCCAGGAGCCCCAGTTTGGTGGGGCACAAACTGGAGGGGAGGGCGGAGCAGGGGCGCAGATCCTGGAGATCCTCAGGGGACAAATGTGGCAGAGTCCTGAGCCCCAACAGCAGCCGCAGCCACCACCACACCACAACAGGCTCAAAAAGAAGTTTGAAGATTTGAAAAAACGACATGTTCAGGATAAGGAAGAGTGGATGCGCCAGAAGGAGTCATTATTAAGAGAAGTGGCTGACATACAAGTAATTGGAAATGTGGGCGGGTGTTTGATGTGCTAAGTTAGAGCTTCAGGGGCACTTTAATACAGGCCAGTCTTTTTTCTGCCAGTAGTGGTTTATAAGGGGAGCTGTGTGAAAGTGATTTGATGTGTTCATTTGATGTATGTCTCGATTTGTATCAATTATGTTTTCATTCAGGGAGGGGAGAACAGGAGGATTCTGCTGGACCTGAAGACTGTTTTGGAGGAAGTGCAGGCGGAGGTGAAAAGAGAGGAGGAGAAAAGGAGTGAGCTCCAGCTGCAGTACAGCAAGGACAGATGTGCCTGGGAGCTGGAGAAAGCTGAGCTCAAGTGTAGGATTGCACAGGTAAGAGAGGGCCGATGGTGATGAGTACGATGAGACTATTTACAAAAAGCAAGTTCTTGAGCTTTAGATATCTTCTAAGTGTGTGTGTGAATTTGTGTGTAGAAATAGAAAGCGTGTAAAAGTAAAATTCTTAAACTTCTTAAATTGTTCATACAGTCAAAAAGGTCTTTCTTTTGGAAAGTATTGTTTATGACTTGTATTTTCTCATTTGTGAATTTCTGGAATTTAGTGTTGCACAAATTGGGCCGGCACCCTCAAGTCAGGGTGATAAGTCACCATGGCATCCATCCAACTAAAGCCTCGGATTAGACAAAAGGGTTGCACTGTGGAGACAAGCTTAGCAATGCCCCCTCAGCCTCACACTGACATCCAACTAGGCTTTTAACAGCTTGCTGTAAGTCGATGAAATATTAGCCCATTCTTCCACTGGACAGCCACTGTCAAGTGTGGTTGAATTAGGCAGAAAATAGAGTTAACTTCACATACCAGTGCCTTCCAGTGTCAGGCGGTGCACAGATCACTTGGACAACCATGCATAGACACTTTTTAAAGTAATATGGCTTGAGGGATTTAGCATGTTTTTCTGATTTTATCGGGAAATGGATTATATGGCTGCTGCAAAATCCAAGTGTAAACCTGATGAGACTTGTGCAGCCTGTGGTGACATTTGGATTTCAGGGTGTGCTGACTGTTTCTCTTTGTTGTGACAACAGGGTCTTTATCTCCTGTCTGAACCCCTTATGATTCCTATCACAGAATGAAACCGGTTGACCCCTTGCACAGAGCTATCCTTTGACACGACTGGTTATCTGACGGACACCCATTACGCTTACAAATTCCATAATAAAGCTTTAAATGAAGAAGAGGGCGCAGAAATACTGCTGGACAGTGGGGTCTAATAAATGAAAAGGATGCAGGACAGTAAACGGCTTTAACGGTTCACACATGACAGACAAATCATGTTTTTGCAAAGCCTTTGTGATAGTTTGTGTGCCTGCATGTGATTTGACTGCTTAGAATGTGCAGTTGTGTTGAAACACAGATGTGGGCAAACTCACACAGACTCTGTGATTACACAAACAGAACAGGGGAAACGTAGAGTGAAACCATCCTGGACTGCATTGTTTGGATTGTTTTGTCTACTTGCCGCATCCTGCCACAGCTGCTTCTTTTGGGTAAATGTTTACTAAGTCCTATTCTAAGGCTGCTTACAGGCTGCAAAATACAAAGGAAGCATTCGTATATCATTGGCAACACAACTTAACTGTCAAGTCACATGTTTTCCAAGAGCCACATGTATGTCAAAGGACGAGCTGTTTGAGTGCAGCTCTACTAATGCATCTCTTACACAGCATTCTTTATAATCTGTGTAATACAATCTAGACACTAAAATTCTAACATGAAAATACTCAACGTGTTTTACCACACCTTGCCCTAACTTCTCCAGAGAGGACAGTAACTCATTTTAGTTGATGTGAAGTGAAAACGGCGGTTAGTCAACAGTCATTAAACATTGGAATGTTGGTACTTATGACACAGGGGACCATCCTAAATTGTAGTGTACATCACACGACATTGTTGTATTTGTAGAAATTATGTGATGGGAATCTGAGTTATTCTGTCATAGAGGGTTCATCAAAATCCATTGTATGGGTTTCTCTAATAAATCTGTTTGTTTTGTCAGTTTGAGCTGCTATCTTTAGATTGTTCAAGACAGTTTTTCGATGATGAATAAGATGCTAAAGCACCACTTAGATTTCAATGGGAATTTATAATCAACCCATAATAGAAAACCCATAAAACCTATTTAAGAAAATGTCTACATGTGCACACTATTTGGAATAGTGCAGCGTGATACTGTAAAGCATATCAATACTATAATACTGATTATTGATTCTGACAACAAGTGGGTAATTAATTGTATACTTGGCTGTAGCTTTTTAAAATTATTTTAGATTTGAATCGTATACCATTTTGGACAATGACTACTGTTCGTTTGTTCACCCTTTTTTTTGCATTTCCAACACCAAATACCAAGAAAGCATCCAAGCTTCCTGGCGGAGCTTCTGGCCCAGCATATCCAGGCATATTTCTCAGCATGACTCTGATTTATGAATGCTGCTGGCAGCTAGGAGACATCTCACTCTGTCTTAGCAGCCAACCGCCCCTCCTCCCCTTCACCTCGCCACCCCCACCCCCTTGGAATGTGACATTGTACAAGGCAGTGTGTCCGCTATTTATAGTGGGTCACCCTGGTGACACAGTTACCTTTATATACCCCTCGCCACCCAGTGACACTCAAGCTTGCCCCGGGTACTTGGAGGTTGCTCTTTTAAGACTGAAGTGATGATGTGCATGTGTTAATACATGAATGTTTGCCTCAGCTTGAAGGGAAACTGACAGCTTGCTCTTTTTTACCTGGCCATTTGTAATTTAACTGTTGAAAATTGTTCTTGGTTCTTTGATGTAACTCCAAGTGTCTTTTTCACTGTTTGTTGACATTCGAATGCTTAAATAGACTATGAACTTTACCCATCATCGTCTGTCTCTAATTGTGGATAACTTTGAGAAGAGCACTGGCAGACAGAATGCATGGACTTGATTTTCTACTCTATAATTTCTTGACCCCAGGCCACAAGCAGAAATAGTACCATGACCGAGGCTTGTAAGAGGGCTTTGGTCGGTGTCTGTGGCTGAACACTGAAATAACACATTCTGGCATGCTCAAATGCCCAAACTACTTACACACAGAGAAAAGCATGGCAATACTTGCTCAAACAGGCGTTGCCTTGGTATTCTTCCAGCAGAAAAGCCAAAAATTGTCCTTTTTTTAGGAACAGCAACAGAAGGTGAAGATTTGATCTGAAATGTACAAAATATGTACTAAAACGTATCTTTATTGTGCTTGCTTCTTAATCTGACATTGTTACAGAGATGTCCAAATGTCCAGATATGTCTGGACACGTATTGTCCTGATATGCTGAGATGGTATAATGTATAAAATTCCCCAACATGGACAATGTGCTTTAAAAAAAGTGTTATCTAACCTGAGTGCAGTTTTACTGCTTAAGTAATCCTTGTCAAACATTTTATTGTTTGCTTCTTTTTTATTAGTTCTGTGAAAAAGAATATTCTGGGCACAAGTTTTCCCCCCAAGTCAGGGAAAATCCCTGTGGGAAAACCCTTGGTATTGGAACTGATAAGAGCATATATCATATTTAGAACTGAAATGTTAAATCAAACCAAATGAAAGCATTTTAGTTTGGGCTGCGTGTTAGCAATGCAAGGACTCACAAGTGTGTTCTTTATTTCAAAGAATTCATCTTTGTGTGGATTTGTTTTTCTTGCTTTTTCAAAACTGGATTATGAGAGTGTTGTGGAAAAAAGGACACATCTGCAGACACATTTAGCTCTACTTGAATCTGCCATTTCCTGCAGTTTATCCTGTGCTAGTGAAGTGCTATTGAAAAGAAGCTTGAACCTTGAACCCAACCAGCTGTGTGATTTGTGACAGGATATTTACACTGTTCAATCTGTCTCCCTCTTCCCTCCTATGAACCCTCTCACTCTCATCCCCATGGTGCATTATTCTCCCACTTCCTCCACCTTCTCATCCTGCCACTCCCTCATTCTCTTAATTCCGCATCTTGTCATCTGGCTCTCATCCATCGGTTCCCCAACTGCAATCTATTCTTTTGTCATCTCCTGCTCTCTCTGCTGTCGCTCCCACTTTTTTGCCTCTCCATCTCCCTCCTCCCTTTTCTCTCCTCCTTTGTGCTCTCCTTGTCGTCTGGATCTCTCAGCTGGAGGCTAGAGAGGCTGCAGCGTTGGTGAGTGGAGGGCTCCAGTCCACACCAGGTCCGGGATCTGTGGCATCACGGAGTCCTCGAGAACTGCCCGGCGAGACCTCGACGTTCCGCAGGGAGAGGGAAGAACAGAGGAGGATCCTGGTGGACACACATTCAACAGCCATGGACCTGCGCTGCCGCCTGGAGCACAATGAGAGAGGCTGGTTAAAAGAGAAAGCTGAGCTGCTGGAAAGATTTGATGTGGAGAGAAAAGAATGGGAGAGTCAGCTGAAGGATATGCAGAAGAAAATAGAAGAGGTAAGACACTCGCATACTTGCATTACAGAATACAAGTATGTCCGCACTTTTGTGGAAGTTTAGAGATTTGGCTAGTGCTGGTACAGGCTTGTCATAAAAGTCAGACGAACCCATACATACATATTAGTAGATACCCCTCATTACTCTCTGGTGATGGTTCTAAGAGAACGGTGGGCCGACCAGCCTGCAACAAAATGTGCATGCGACAACATAACGGCTGAACTTTGGCATTGGACAGTGGTGTTGGTTTATGTATTAGGCATTTACAATGTGGTGGATCACAGAAATAATGAAATTGGACCTTTTTAATTGCCACATTTTTAAAATAGGTAATGAAGTTGATTCCATGTCTCATGTGATGCCGTGGTTGATCAACTTCAGGCAGTCTACCATCAGGCCGACTCAGCCTGCTTGGAACCCCAGCTTAGGAGGTGCTATAACTGTACCTGTTAGGAGGCACCAGCCCTTAAAGGAAATGCAATACCCTAGTAGAGTCAAGCTGAGCCGTGTAGTGTAGGTACTCGTGGAAAAACCCTAAGTCTGTCACTAACTGGGTGTCCAAAAAGTAATCTGTAACAATTCAATAGCTCAAGCAAAAGTTATTGCATTAAATGAGCAGGCTCTGTCACACATCCTGCTTAAAAATAATGAAGCATCTTTCCAATTATCAGTATTCCTTTTTTTGACTGATTATTGATTGGACACATCTATTTAAAAACAGAACTAGCAGACTGATGCAGTTTTCTGTGCTGTCGTCACCAGTCTGTGGTCTTGAGGATTCCTCTGACTTCAGCACATACTGATTGGTTGCGTATTAGCCTGTCAACACTAAATGCTACTGTGCCATCCAGGTGCACTGGGGAATACATTTTTAAACGGAGTCAGAAGTTAAACTATGTCTAAATGGGCTAAAACAGGGAGCTCCATGATGCTTTTTAGATTAATCTTACACTTAGGGCTGAATTAAAATGTTGTAAAAAAAAAAGTTTTAATGTTTGAATTTGTGGTATTCAGAGTTTTACTGTAACGACTGAACTTTTCCTAATATTGCTTTATCTGTAACAAGTAAAAAAATTCCTCAGCCGGCCCCTACAAAAGACAATAAATATGAATGTGTTCCTGAGGATGTTACTTAGTTGCTGTTTACAAATTGACAATTTGTGAGCTCAGTAACAGTCATTCTTTAACTATATTAGTATTTGAAATGGAAAAAAGAAATTAGATTACAAGACAAAGAAGTATAACAGAGCATAAATGATGGTAATGAAGTTTAAATTAAGGGGCTTAAGAGTGAATAACAAAGGCAAAATGGAGATAGTTAAACCGGAGTGATGACAAGTCTTCATTTTATCTGCTTTTAAAAAAAGACATGCTCACAACATCAAGTTTTGTTCTCTTCCTTTTTTCCTTATAAGTGAAGCAATTTCTTTGTCATCGGCCAGGGAGTAAAAACACTGGAACTATTTGCTCTGTGGCAAACATGTGGATCTCATTTGCCCCTTTGAGACCTGAAAAATCAGAGAACAACTGTGGGATAAAGTCTACTAAAAGCAGTAGTTCCATCTTGAGATCTCTTGATGGGAGGAAACTCCAGCCAGCATAAACTGTTACTATTTGGAGGTTTCCATGATTGGAGGCCAGAGGTCATCTGTTTTTCTTTTTTCTTTTTATTCAGCGGCCTGAAAATACTTTATGCTCAACCTGCCTTTTCTCAGTAAATTCTATCTAGATTTCAAGTTTTTCATTGTTTTGATGTATTTTGTTAGAACATTTATGGTTAGTCATTCTAATGTAGCTTTGTCTTATTATTCTTTCCATTCTTAGCTGTACTGTGAGGTGAGAACCAAGCGAGGGGGTACAGGACGAGACAGTAGGCAGCAGGATGACGATGCGGTGCGCCGGCTCAGCATGCGCTCCACCAGCACGGGCTCCAGTCTGCTCAGCGACAACTCCCACTCAGAACTTCTCAGCAGCAGCACACAATCAGAAACAACCCGGCACCCAGCTTCACCAGACTTCGATCACAACACAAACATCAGAGATGATAATGCTTTTGGGATCACAGACAGTCGACACCCCACCTGCTTCCAGGCAGACAACCTCTGTGGATTTAATGTTGGTGTCCAGTTCAGCCAGAGCGAGCTTGTGGAGGAATTCAAAGGTACTTGGCAGCAGGGCCCAGTCACTGATAATAAGAAAGCGGTGGATACAACTGAGCTGGATGCTGTTAATCTTCAGGCTTCTGGATGTGGAGTGCAACAAGAATATGCTTCCAAAGGGACTGAAAAACATGTCAGTGTCAGTCCTCAAGAAGGTGATCTTTTGGCAGGACTGAGCTATGGCAGTGACAAGAAAAAGAACACAACTGCTCTTAATGCTGTGAGTGATTTAGACAGCTCTCATATTTGCTTGTAAAACGTCATTCATGAAAGTGTCAGTTGAATCTCCCGTGTGCCTTAATGCATCTTGCTTTGGTCAGCAGTTTTGCCCTATTGTAACGGCATTGGTTTTATTGATGTAACACAATGGTTCTAACTCGTTATTCCTGCCCCTTCTTCCTGTTTCAGGCCCTGAAGGAAATTGCCCGTGTTAGTGAGGAGCTTTGTAGCTACCAGGATGAGATCAGAAAGAAGAGTGGAGAAAAGGGGTAAATAGAAACATAAAATGAACCACTCCTAATGAGCTTGCACTGTCATTGTTCGAGTGCTGAGCTGTAAACAAATGGAAACTTATATTTTATCACATCTCTCTTAAGAAGAATGTTACACATTAAATATTCATATCAGACTTTTATTACTTAGACTGATTATGTTAATTGCATTCGATTGAATTTATTCCTCAACTCATTCCAGGTGTCAGCCTGAGTCCCTGTGCCTGTCTGAGGGAAGTGAGAAGCTCCTTCAGGTAGATGAAACTCCTTGTGACCTCAGTCAGATCTATGAGGACCTCCGAGCCTTGGCAAGGGAGCACTGGTTGACTTTGTCACCAGGGAACACCTGGCAGGCCAACAGAGGGCCACGTGAATCCTGGACAGCAAACACTGACGATTTAGATAGCCTCAGAGCCCCACAGACCACGAGCCCTGGGGAGCACTGGGATATTGATACGACAGCCCCACCCATCCCTCCCCGCACCTCTTCCTGGAATTTGAGCACTCCGAATCCAGACACAGAACTGCACATCCCAGAATCCCCTGTGGCTACAATGAGGAAATGCCACAGCCCCTGTGTTCTAGTAGACAGAAAGTGTAACAGCCCTTCCATTGTCAGGAAGTTTGAGGCTATGCTGCAGGAAAATGAGGGAAAAGTTTTAAAAGATGGCATTGTGATATCGTGCGCTGTGCCTGCTAATTCCAACTGCAACGTGGGCTGCTGTCACAGCCGCTGGTCCTGCGATGCAAGCAAGTTCACTCGGAATAAGTTGTCTTCATATGGGACTGTCCAGAAAAGCTTCTCTGAGGTCAATATACTAAGTGCTGCGAAAGTCTCTCACTCAGATTACAGCCCCGGTGGTGGAAGCCTGCAAATGTCTTCCTCTTTCAGAGAAATACCTGTGGAATTGCTCCTGTCCTCTCTGGAAACACAACCTGTCAGTCCTAAACTCCAGGGCTCCCGAAGGAACATAATGCTAGAAAAGAAAACGGCTGAGTTCAACCGCACCTTGTTTCAGGCTGAGATGGGGCGTGGAGCAGACGTACAGGACGGCTTCCCTGGAACGGACACTGGCTCTGTGGCTTCCCCACCGGTTTGTTCATCATCAGATGACATTTTACCTCCAAAAGAAACATTTCAGCCAATATATATGGATTTAACCACCTCTATCATGGATGCTCCTCCCAAAGTGTCACCGATTCTCTCCACCTCTGATTCCACTACACAGAACCCTGAATGGCAACAGAGGCAAACGAGATGCACTGACGAAGTCCGAGACGTCAGAATAAAGCGAGAATCCCACCCTGCTCACTCTGAACCGTTCAGTGAAGCCACAAGAACCCCTCAGAGTCCTGCACACAATTCTGAGGTCAGCTGCAAAGCTCGTACAGAAAGCAGTCCTTCCAGCAAATCAAAGCACAGAGCTGCCACAGAGGCTCTCTTTTCTGAACATTTCTTGCCTGCAAATTCCCAACCTGGTCAGAGTGTGGATAATCCCAACGCTCAGGAAAGAAATACCCATGGAGCGAAACATCAGTCAGCCAGAACCAGTATGTCACACCAGCAGCTGTCTGCTGAGAGCAAACAAAGACAGGTGCCACAGCCAAGACAGGGGGACTCCACCAGATCAGCCCCTCGAATGATGAGTGAGCACCCCTGGAAGCCCCTCACTCTCGCTGCGTACCCACGGCCAGAGGGATCCAGGTCCAACTACGGTGCGGTGGAAAGGATTCTGAAAAACTATGAGACTGCAGCTCTAGCACAACAGAATGAGAGCCAGCAGAATGACATGGGCTCAAGGCGAGATGAGAGCTTCACAGACCTGGACCTGTTGGACATGGATCCCCTGCCTTTGCCTCCTACTCTGAGACACATGCAGATAGCACATACCTCACAGACACACAACAGCCAGGTCAGCGGGCCGGTCAGCAGCCACAGTTCCAAATGTCTGAGGGAGGTACGGCTCCTAGTGCAGGTGGGTGGACTCGGAGAAAAGTATGATATATACACTTCTACTTGTATGTCATTCAAGAAGTGCACATTTTACTGTGCAGAATGTTCAGAAAAATTTAATTAGCAAATGTACACTTAGTTTTCACACTATAGTGCCAGTGTTTCTCATGCCAGTAGACCTGGATGTACTTCTTGTTCTGTTCCAGTCCATTGTTAAACACTAAGTAATTGCCCTTGACTAAAGACAGCTCTGGCAGGAACATTGTTTATTTCTGGTATGTGCTAAAAGACAAAAGCAGGCCAAAACTGCCATTATAATCTGGGCCATTCCATTGCTTAAAGGCTCCTGAAAAACTGGCTGTGTGGTAAAGCCTGGTAAGCTGGTACGGTCTGCCCCCCAGCTCGTCTTTCATCTACTACTCATTCCACAAAGACTCATAGTGGAAGTATTTTTCTGGCCCTTTGTTGTTGTTTCGTAATTACAGAAGTATCTGGAAGAAGCTAGCTGACTAAATGCTTTTGGCAGACCACAGAGATGGAGAAGCTGAAGTAATTATGCTGCTTTAAAGTTATGCAAGTGTTTAAGATACTGTCAAAGTAATTACGAATCCAAATGTATTCAACCCCATGAGAAGAATGAAATGGAATGTTAAGACATTAGTTGAACTGTCTCAGACAAACGTTGATAATCCCGAAAACTTGGCAAGTGGTGGAACAACTTCTCATGCGCGGTATGACTTCAAATACTTTGAGACTAACACCAGGGGGATTTACTTGCGTGACCCTCTCACATGTGGGTTCGGATGCGTCTGGTGTTTCTCTTTGAAATGTGCCTGCTGTTTTCCCCTCAGGGTCAAGAAGACAACAGATGGAACTCGTGACAAAATGTTAAGTATCTGTTTGTGTGAAACAGGTTGGAGACAGAACAGTGTGATAATCCTAAATGTTAATTTACTTGTCTCCTTACAGGAGGATGAAGAACCCCCTGTCTCTTCCTCCTCTGTGCAGAAAAACTTTTCGAGGCCTGCCCGTCCAGCCAACCGTCGCCTCCCCTCCCGATGGGCCAGCCGCTCCCCCACCTCGTCCTCCTCCACCTCCTCCTCTCCTTGTACCACCCCCGTCGTGCCTCCATCTTTCCCCCTTCAGAAACACACCTCCTCCTTCACTTACTCGCACGACTTTCACATGGAAACTGTCATCATTTGAGCTTCACATAAGCCTTCAGCGATAGCCTCTGATCTTTGCCTTTTCCCTTCTTTCTGTTGTATATACCAAATCAAGAAGGCATCTGCACTACTACATATTCAGAAGTGCTTTAGTTATGAGTTCATCGACTCACTATGAGAATGTATGTGGCATCCAGTGGAGCCTCAACTGACCAAGAAAGGCAAGGAAATCTGAAGTGGCTTCAGTTATTCAGCAGTATGCTCTAGTTAACCTGCCAGGCATCATGCACACTCAGCAGATGTGAAACCTTCAAAGAACTTACAGTATTCACCCCAACTATCTGAATAAATATCCTATGCTCAGGTCTGGATTCTAGCTTGGTCCAGTACAGCCTTGCAGATCTACCAGTGACACACCTTTCACTCCTTTTTTTGCTCTGTGACTGTATTTACACTGTAAATGTAATCCTGGTTCACCGAAAGAATCATCCACAGACTTTAAACCCACTCATGCATTCATGTTTTTTCTTATTTTGGATTTTGTGCGCTACATGTTTTTGTATGATGTCACATGAACAGATGAAACAAGGATTTGTCCTACCATCACAATCTATGTGACAAATTCAGCTGTAGTTACTTTTTGGCATCTTGAAAATCACCTTCAGTACTGTACTTTGCTGGACTCTACCTTGTCTGTGACTGAAACTTGTTTTATTTGAGCTCATTTTTGGCTAATCGTTTGGCAATTTAGCAAAAACCTTTACTCTGTAACAATGTGATTTTCCTCTGTACCAAAGGCTGGTTCTTATGCATTCACCCTGATCTGAAAATGTAAATCAATGTTTGTCATTATATTATTCCCTTCCATAGCTGATGTTTTCCTAACAAAACATATGTAAACCTCATCCATAAGAGTCTGTTTTATATAACACTCGATTATGCTTATAAAAGAAAACCTTTTTTTTCTATTCTTAAAAATTCTGAATGCTAGCATATCAGGACATTACTCAGCTGACTCAAACTGTTTTTTGGAGAGTACAAAAAGTTAGGAATCATAATGAAGGTGATGCCTTTGCTGTTCATTTTGTGTAATAAACCTTACAAGCTGATGGATTCTGTTCTGTCTCAAAATGCATCAAGAAGAATCAGGATGTTGCAGGTGCTTTTGTAATGTTCTGTTTTCAATACAATATCATTGTGTAACAGCACACATATATTACTAAAGACTGTCCAGAGTATTTTAGTCATCTAAATGTAATTTTCCTGCCCTGTATAACTCGCAAACGACAGGTTAAGCTGACATTGTGGCTGCTTTGCCATATCGAGGTGTAGCTCTGCAGCAATGATGGAATGATATCTGAACTCCAGTCAAACACACCACATAAATATTGATGTTACTGAATCGATATGAACCATATGAGGCCTTTCAGCTCACAAGGATGAGGCAGTGAAACCAAACTGTTTGCTCCTTTCACTTCAAGATGCAAACAAGCATGATTGTATTCAATGTGATCTGTTCCTGTGAGAGGAGACTGTAGAGCTTTGTGACTGGAGAAGAGGAGCTTTGTGTCACTGTGGGTGTGCGTTACTGTGTGTGTCTATGCCCTTTTTTAAGTGTGGAAAGTTTTCTTTCGTATAAAATAGATAAGGTATTATTACAAGCCTTTTTTTCTCACAAAAAGTCCCCAAAAAATTTCGGAATTGTTCTGTCTGGACTGGTAAATTAATTACTTTTGCAGTGTTACACAGGTTTAACCTCTTCACTTTTGAAGATCAAATTACACGACACAACCGTTCCCATCTACACTAATGGACATCCTGAGAGGGATGGAAACCCAACCCCTCACCCTGTAACCTGGCACCAGAGTCTGACTGAAATAACAGGTGCAACAATGGTATGGTGCCAGAAATCCTACCCCACTGCAATATATAAATATATGATATATATTTATATATAAACTGTTTTCATTCTCTGCTGGTGTCCTGTCTCAAGCTGTGTTGTCTGTCTCATCCCGTTCTCCTGTGTTAAGGTTGGGAAAGAGTGTAGTTCAGGCCTGGCCTGTGCTAGTGTCTGGAGGTCTCCAGATGCTGAAGCCATTATATAACCAGCACTGACTGTCCCGAGTCCAAAGCTGCTTAAAATCACAGCACTGGAAAGAATTCATGCAGCAATCTGTGTTTCATCATGCGAGCACATTATAACTGCAGCTTCCTTAAGTTATTGTCAACGAGGCTAGATGCAGAATGTTTTGTACCTAACTCAAAGTCTTCATTATACTTGGCTTTATCTGTGGTATCTGCCGACTTTCTCAGTATGGTGACTGTCACAACAATGGAAAAAAAGGTTAATTTTGCATTTCATATCTGCTACTTCGTACATAAAAAACTATACCTGACAAACTTTTGGACACATCCACTCATCCAAAATATGCTCAGATGTCTGACTGCTGTTAGGAGAAGTCACAGTGAGTGTAGCCCATTTAGAGATACAAAACAAAGTCTCCTTTGGCCAGAATAGAAGTTTGTAACTTTCACACCTAATGTCCATTGCGGTTCTCAACACATTATCTGGATTTTTGCGAAGCTGTTTCCTTCTTATGCCATCAGATATAAGGTTCACATTACCTCAAGCTTTTTAAGTTGGCCTTTCACAGTTGAATTGTGGTTTCAAATGTACAACATCTATCCCAGTAGCATATTTCTTTCAGTCTTTGTGTGCTTTCAGTGGTTTTTGGATTTGATGCGTCCTTTTTGTTGTCTCACTTGAAATGCCTTCATGTATCCTGGCTCTCTGACCCACCAACAGGAAACTCTGTAGGCCCTCTGAGTACTCTGGCACCGGCCAACCTACCATTCCACTTGTTCTAATAGAGTCAGATGCACTCCTATTTCATTTAATTGTGTATGTGTGCGTCTGGGAGTTTTCCTATCTTTGAGTTGCACTGAAACCATGCTGAGTGCGGCGCATTCCCTGATTTCCTGCTGAGCACTGGACAGCTGCTTATCGATCAGTAAACTGATGCATCGGTTTTAGAGGCCATATATGGAACACACACTCGCCAACGCACAAATACATGCAATACCTGCAATGCACAATACCTCCCATCAGTCATGCATACATAAACACGAATAGTTTAAATTTATCTTCATCTTATCCATTAACCCACTTGTCATTTTAGACAGGCTTCCATTATCAGCTGCATCAAATGTCTGCCGCTGCAGAATTCAAATCCAGATAACACCTAAACTGTTTGCTGGTTGATCGGCAGATCTCTCACACTGACTTGTTTGCATAGACCATTAATCATGAAGATTCAGCGAAGGCCCTGTGTGCTCCAGGTGCTGCACTTTACAGTATGATATATATGGACAGAATGCAGGCTCGTTGACTGAGCCGAATGTACTGTACCGAGCAGGAAAAAGGGACAGCGTGTCTGGGATGCATGCTTGGGAAGTGTCCTACCAACCTTTCTGAATTCCTTCTCCACTTTTAAATAGACTGGGGGGGGGGGTTGAACAGAGCTCACTCTATTGCAGTCTTGGACACAGTGCAGAGTATCCTTGATGATGACCTTTTATGTGTAAACTGCAGCTATAAAGGAATTTAACTACACATTTAACTATCCTTTCTAGGAAATCCAGTTGTTCTGCTATTGATGTAAAATAAGCATTCAAATCCATTTGAGGAATACAAGTGAATCATAATTCTGAACTCTCCAGGAGTTTTTTTCTATGTTTCTTTCATATAGACACTAAGGGCTTTTAATAGCTATAGAGGGTGGCTGGCCTGAGATAAAGGATTTACGTACACAGAAGATATAAATCAGTCCACATGGCAGGTGGTGCTCCTTGTGAATTTGGCAGAATATACCTTATTTCCCTTCCCATTCCTTGAGTTTACTGTATCCTATCACACTTGTGCGCATACCTCCAAGTGAATAACTGTCTAAAAGGCTCTCATTTCTGGCTGCCAGCATCCAAATCACATCAATCCACAATCGCTTAAACTCAGCTCAAGCCAAGAAGGAGTTGTGAGGTGTCTTGAAGAGGTGTCAACAAGTTGGCAGCAATTTTTGTCTGTCTGTGTTTGCACAGTAGTATGATCCCAGAGCATTTCACACTTTTTATTGCCCATTAGAAAAGTGGCCCTGTGGTATGCCATTACATGTTTCAGGTAGAAATAAGAGAAGACAATCTTTCTTGGAAACCATTCATCATCTGAAAAGAGCAGATCACTGAAAGGGGTTGTACAGACATTACAAAAACACAAGTAAACGCTTTTAAAGGACGCCCCCTTGAGATGGAACCTACGAACTATTATCTCAAAAAGCTTTTGTTCCGTTCTGGGTCTAGTTTCTGGTGGGACTTGTTTTAGAGTGACACACAACACGAGTGTCATTTGACAAGGTTGGTACTTACGTTTCTATTCACAAGTGTTTGCTAATACGTAGAGGCAGTGGTAAAGTCAAATTACTTGGGGAAATATATTTGATCTTTTTTCGTGTTAAAGCCAAGGAAGGCCACTCCAGACCTCCACTGTTTCTGTTTACATTTAGGTTTCAGATATTCTGTTTTCATCTGCAAATAAAAGTCCTTATCATCGTAACACCCGTATCTCGTTATTCAGTTTAGACAAAAATGCTAAATGCTTTCCATCCAGTAGCAGCACTGTCGCTGCTGAATATTACGGATGCATCTTTGATCGTGTTTTCTTTTTTTTTTCATCGGCATCGGCATCAAAACTGACAGCAATTATCTGCTTCTAACTGTACAGTGTAATCCACACTAATTATATTGAAGTCAAAGTCACTAAATGTTTTTTCAAATTCATTTTAATAACCAAAATTATGAATAGCCTATTTTATAATTGAACAATTGCTTTCAATTATTAATTAGTATGATTTAGTTTTGAATAAAACAAAACATTAAGTAGATTTGCAGCTTGTATTCTTTATGCCCGCAGAGCTGAAGCAGCCTCTCACTGAACACACTTCATTGTTTGTGAAGGATGAGGTTTTCACAGTGCACATTTTCTGCTAATTAGATCTCTGAACTTTTATTTGTTAGGAATAAGAGCCACAAAGCTTATGCCTGACCATAAGTAACTGACCCAGTCAATGGAAACCAGTACTAACAAGTTAAAGGCAGAGATAAGCAGGTCATATCATCAGATTGCAGGGAAAAATCAGCTGCACATCAGGTCATATCAGATATCAGGATTCAAAAGGGGCTCTATTGAGAAATGCAAAAAACAAACAAAACAACAACACACCTTGGAGGACACCTCTGTCAAAACTAAGCTAAATATTTGGATCAGGACAAACTGAACTTTATCAAGCTTTTACACACCCTACATGGAATCTTACCTGCTTCCACAAAAATATATATATATATAAAAAAATGTCTTCACATGACAAAACTCTTGTTTTCTCTTGTGGTTATTAATCAAAGCAGAAACTGCCATTTTCCCCTCCATCTTTGTGCAGATGAGCCACTGTGCACTGAGGCAGCGGCTCCTGAAGAGCAGCAGCTGCTGGGGAACCTGGGCCAGGTAACAGAGTCTGGCCAGTGTTGTTCATCATGATGGCAACAAGTACAAAACACACACACACCGAATGCCGTTAGTCTGCCATCTGCTTAGTTTTTGTATGCAAAAAGGAGGTGTGTTAAAGGTTTGTTTGTGTGACTCCGTCCTGGACATTCTTCAAGATGATTTATAGAGATAATTCTTATTAAACGCATTCATCCTGCAAACATTAATATTCAATCTTGAGCAACACAAGGCCCCGTTATGCATGTAGACATGCATTTCTTCACATTGGAACCACACACACAATTGCTTTGACAACTTTCAAGGGTTTCTCTACTGGTGAACAGATGTATAACACCCTGTCAGCTGAAATAAAACATCATGAGGTGCGATTCAGTGAGTTTTGAAAAGAATGTGACCAGTGTATTGATATCACTTGGCTCATTAATCCTCTTCACTATGTGAGCCGAAGGTGTTCTGGGGGAGTCAGATTTGGTTTTGTTTGTTGGTGAGCGCTGCTCTCACTGTTTCCTCATTTCCATTCGTAATTATCAATTATGCATAAACACCAACAACTTCAACACAAGTGGTGCTCTTGCAGGGTGTTGCAGACACAGAGTCGAGGCTGCGTTTACTCCAGCCTCCATGGGTTTGACCAGGACGAGATCAGAGAGAAGCTGCGGGCCTTTCCTGGAGGCTCCATCGATCTGGTGAAACAGGACTCCGGCGTAGCTGTGCTGACCATCAACAACCCCACCCGCATGAACGCTTTCTCCGGTGTGCTTATTCTACCACACATCGCATCGCCTGTGCAAATCCTTCTGTTTTAATCAAACAGAAAGGAAAGACAAAACAAGGCTGAAGTGTTTTGAGTTTTTCTTCCCGGCAGGCAGCATGATGGTGGATCTGGAGGAGCAGGTCAGCCAGCTGGAGGAGTGGACGGACGGGAAAGGCCTCATTGTCCAGGGTGCTGCCGCCACCTTCTGCTCCGGGTCTGACCTCAACGCCGTCCGGGCCATATCCAACCCACAGGTAGCAGAATGATATACTCAGTGCTCCTTTGTGTGGGCCTACTGGAGATGTTTACATGGGGCTCCTCTCACCTTCTAGGATGGGATGAAGATGTGCATGTTCATGCAGAGTGCTCTTACGAGGCTGCTCAGGTAAGAGCTCTTCGCAGAGTGTTTCTGCAAACTTACAAAGCATCGGCTGGAGAGTTCAGGTGTGGTGCTGTTACGTAACGAGCCCCGCGGCGTGCTGACCGAGGGCTCTGTGTGCAGGCTGCCTCTTATCTCTGTGGCGCTGGTGGAGGGGAGAGCGCTGGGAGGAGGTGCAGAGCTCACCACGGCCTGCGATTTAAGGTAACATCTTTGCATGAGCTGGGAAACACAAAGAACCCTCTTCGGCAGTCTCGTGTTTCATCGTTATCCGGCGTGTGGCCGCCACCCCCTCTCGCAGGCTGATGGCGTCCGGCAGCGTGATCCAGTTCGTCCACAAACACATGGGTCTGGTCCCGGGCTGGGGGGGCGCCGCGCGGCTCGTCCACATCGTGGGAAGCCAGAGTGCGCTGAAGCTGCTGGGCGGCGCGGTCAAAGTGGACCCTGAGCTGGGCCTGCGCATGGGACTGGCAGACGGAGTCCTGGAATCGGACAGGACAGCAGGAGATCCCGGCACCGCCCTGCAGCAGGCGGAAAACTGGCTCAGCCGCTACACCAAAGGACCGGCCCCCGTCATCCAGGCCGTGAAGAAGGTGGTGTCGTCAGGGAGGGAGCTGCCTCTGTCAGAGGCCCTGAGGACAGAGAGGGACGTTTTTGGGTCGGTGTGGGGCGGTCCGGCAAACCTGCAGGCCCTGGCCAGCAGGCCCAAACACAAATGAGCCGGCCTGAGGGCTGTTATCAGCAAACCCTGCGGGATGCCACTCAGAGAAATGTTTTCTTACCTTTGGGAAGGGGGTCGTTTTACAGTACTGAACTGAAACAGTGAACTAACCACACTCTGGCTATCTTTGTTTCCCAAACATTAAACTTTTCAACTAATCTTTTTTTCTGCACACACCAATGTTCTACGCTCACAGATGATAAGGTTGTTGTCACAAAGTCCTCCTTTCAATCATCATTTGGTACGCCAGACTTGAAATACCCCATCAGAACTCAAACTCTTGTGCAAATCTAACAATACTGTGTCGAAGAGACAAACAAAATAAACAATCGTGCTGTTATCATTTTGCTGAATAAGTGTCTTTTCAGGTGTAGTCTGAGCAGAAATTCCTTTTTATCAGTCACTTTGGATAGCTCCTGTTGGGAGTTATCTCCTTAATAGGATGACATCAGTAAAAGAAACTAAACAGTGAGGCCTCTGTCCTCATCAAACAAATAAACCCTTTTCTCTTTGTCATCTGACAACGTGATTGTGCTGCTGATTAGATCATTCTGCACCGAGTTGAACTGAAGTGGACAAACTAATGAAGCGGGACGAGCATGAAGTATCCACATCTGTCTGCTGGAAAGACGCGCTGCTGCACATCTTTTGTGTCTTTTTCTGTGTTTGTAGGTCAGTTGAGCTGATCGCTCAGATTCCTCTGTGTTCGTTATGATCCCTGCAGCTTTGGTCCTTCCCTCTCTGGGCTCTGTGGCATTAGGAGATGCTAAGCTGGGAGGGCATAACCTGATTTTCAGCGAGCCGACGAAAGAAGCTCAGACCAGCACAGTGAACGTCTGTGGATCGATTTGCAATGCTCATGGATCTGCAGAGCAAATGAGGAGTTATAAAAGCAAATGTGAGCACACACCGAAATGTCAACAATCCTGTTTCCTGACTAAAGCCCCAGCTGGAGTCTGAATATCTGCTGCAGCCAGAATCCCAAACACCCACAAGGTGAAACTAATCAAATGTGGCCCAACACATTACACAATAAGACCAAGAGAGGAAAATAAATCCACTTATTGAGAGACCAATACATTCTTCAGGATGATGAAATGATAGTTTATTCTTAAATTACATACCTTGTAACAAAAAAAATGAACCCAATACAATTACACAAATTTTATTCTTCAGAACAGAAAGTCTAAAACTGAGTTGATGTCGAAAATAAAAAAAAATAAAAACAACATTACTGAAACTTCTGCAGGACGACCATGAGCGATAGTGTGTCCCTCCCCGTTCTTCTGCTGCCTCACACATTGTACGCAACAGGATTTACAACCAAAGGAAATGCACATATAAAATAAAAACATTTACTGAATTAAAAAAAGAAAAACAAAACACCAATTCTCCACATCCTGCCAAACCACAGTGTTTAAATAACGCTCTTCAACACACATAAATCACAGAACTTTAGAAAGACGTGAGAATACTTTAGTGAGGGACAACAAGGGCACTAATGAGGCTACAGATGTTTCAACAGCTTTTAAAGAAACACACCGATATCACGTTAAAATGCCAATTCTTCAAAGCTGGGTGAAGTTAAGACGTATTCTTTAATGTTCACATTCAACTGAAACAGGGTTCTTAATGCACAAAATGTGGAGGTTCAGAGAAACGCAGCTCAGACAGCCATGTGTGGGCTCCCAGTTAAATGACAACGCTGTTAAATGTCACGCCTCAAACTCAAACAGCCACATTCCTTTAAAAGCCTCGCGGAGTTCTTTGTATCCTTTCTTCAACTTTAAGAATTAAAAAAATAAACACACAAACAAAATAAAGTCTTCTTCAAATCACACCGGGGCTCCAACTGACTTTGTTCTCTGGGGTTAACAGGTTACTGACAATTCTGAGGGCTTTATAATCACATTACATCTGCAGGAGATCATATGAGAGGTGGAGGCAGCGACCTCATTTCTGCAGGAGTTGTCAGATGACCTAAATTCTAGGGAGCCCGTGTCTGTGAGATGTTGGCCGAGAGGGTTGAAATGTAGATTATTACAATGAAGCTGTTCATAATAATGTTAAGTCGGCTTCACTTATTTGAGTTGGTTCCCTGTTATGCCTTCTTTTGCTGCAAGTCACAAATCTGATCAGGACACTCATAGCCTGTTTGTTGGATAATAAATGAACACACAATGGCAAAGTGAGGGAGAAGCAAAGTAGTTATTTTTACCTTCCTGGAATAGAGAGGAACATCACTACATGCCAGAAACCGAGGCTGATCGAGCCGATGGCTGCTGAACTCCACGTCACCTCACATGATGGGCTGGATACAAAACAATGAGATTTCACAGCTCTAAACAAAACTGTAGATCCATCTGAATCTTTACCGTTGCCCTCCCTTAGTACTGAACAGCTTAGTTTAGGGATATCAGAGCAAAGGTCAGCTCTGTGGATGAGCAGAGCAATAAATGAATGAGTCTTAACTCTTAGTCTAAGAAATCAAGATGGATCATGGAGAACCAAAAACAAGCAGCAAAAATCAAACCTTTTACTGTGTGTCACAGAGTGAGCTATGCCTCATTATTCTGGTACCAAACAACGCACCCCCATCGGATCTGTGACTGAAAGAACAGCATGACAACTTGGAACACATCCGCTTAGTGCTGATGGTAGCAATGATCACCTCACACTTCAGTCACTGTACACTGGCCGTCAGGCATTCTGGACCTTCCACTACTGCTGGATGAGGTAGGGGGAGAGGCAGGTTCTGCACGAGGAGGTGCTCTGTCCTCTGGCGCCAGTCTTTGTCCCCGAGGCCGGTCCTCCCAAGGCTCCACATGCTCCCCGTCTCCCCCCTCCTCTTCCTCATCGTCACTCCAGTCTCCAGAGCCAGACTCGTCCACAGAGGTGTGAGGATCAGAGGACCTAGAGGGTGAAGTCTCCTCTTCGTCTTCCTCCTCCCCTTCACCCAGCCCAGGCCGAGGGCTGATTTGTAGCTGGGAAAGGGCATCTTCCAGTTCGGGGCTTGTTCGGGAGTCGGGCTGACCCCTGAGGGCAGCAGAAGGACGGGCAGCAGCTGTGGGCGCTGGAACAGTAGAAACACCTGTGACCTGTTGCTGGACACCTGCTACTGTGGTATCGGCCCCATCAGCAGAGCTTTCGCGACTTGTTGCTCCCAGGGCCCCGCTACCAGCTTCAGTGTCCAGACGCAGTCCAGCCACTCCCTTTTTGGGAATGTCCAAAACGTCCCTCTTCATTTTGCGCCTACGGCCATGCTCGTTGCGCCGATACTGCACCATGTTCTCCAAGTCAGCTACGTACAAAAAACCAGCAATAAGCATTTCCGCCGTCTTCTTGCCCTTGGAGAAAGCGTCCTCCAGCTCACGGCTGGTTCGCTCGTCGTACTGCCACCAGCCATTACGGCCCTCGTAATACCAGGCATGGTCGCTGGCCGCACCAGCCCGACCTCCTGCCGAGGCTTTCAGCTCCTCAGGGGAGAGAAGAGTCGGCCTTTCCAGGAAGTCATCCGGCACTTCCTGTCTGCAGAGAGCACAGCGTTTACTCTGCCAGGACGCCCCCTTCACACACAGGAAACAGAAGACGTGATGGCAGGGCAGTTGGACTGGGTGCACGCAGCTCTGCAGACAGATGGCACACTCTGGCACAGACAGGGCTGGGGAAGAGCCGCTGGAGCCGGAACACGAGGATTCTGCGCTATTTCCACTTCCGCCACCACTGCTGCTGCCTTTCTTACTGGATGGAAGAGAGCTAACAGAGTGGTCGACCTCTCCACAACTAGCCATCCTTATGAAGTACTGCACAAAAACATAGAGGAAGACAATAGTTTGGATAATAAGATGTTGAAATGTGACATCAAGCTAGTAGATTTTATGTTTACTCCAATGACTTGTGCTTAATCAGAAATAATAATAATAATAATAAAAAAAGCACAGGACAGTATTACAATACTTTGGACTTACTAAAGTCCACAGTATATTGATGCGTATGAACTGTAGTAATGTATATGCATTGCAGTTTATGCGTACTTTAAAAGTACAACAAACATGCTTTCAAATAAACTACAAGTTATTTCTTTTAATTGTGGCTTGATCACGTTAAATGTGTGGTTGGGTACCAATAGTCAAGCAGACTAAAAATAATCTAAAAATAAATGAATGGGGAGCAGTACCATAGGTATTATTGTGGTAAAAGTCAGGCATTTATGAAGTTTCATACTTACTCAAATCTCTTTAATGCAGATGAATCATTAGGAGAGCTTTTTGGACCTCTAAATATTCCTGTCAATGGGAACACACAACCAATGAAATTATATTTTCTATAACGCTAGCCAAGAAAGGAAGTGAATAGTGGTATTAAAATCACAGCTACCAAAATAGCCTTTGTGAAAAGATGAACTTGATTAGTACATCCGTCGTTAAACTACACATGTTAAAACTTAACGTTAATTCGCATAAGGGACTGCTGTGAGTAGAACAAAGAAAGGCTCTGTTAACACACTACAATCAGTTAATTGTGTCGGTCTGTGCTTGCTTAAACCTGTTTTATTTACTAGTGGGTCATAGTAGACAGGAATGTTGCTAAAATAAAATCAGCAGCACCTTAAGTGTTGACAATTTGTAAGAAAACACCCTTGCTAATACTAACTGCGTAACATTTGGGTATCAATAAGGCATCTGCAGTTGCCATTGTGATAATGCAATATCTAGATGAGCAAACCATCTCGATGTTGAAACCTGTTGTATTTGGCTAAAGCTAGCGCTGCTAAGTGCATCGCACTGGCTCCAGTAAATAGACGGAGTTCATTTGACGGCGCTAGCTTAATTTAGCACAGCGACATAAACAGGATAAAAATATTTTCTCGCTCCACTGACAGAACAAGAACAACGGCAGAATATCTACCTTACCTTAAATTCTGTTGAAATTACCTTGTCAACTGTGGGAGCTGGTGTCAGGGTAAAGAGTTCGTATGTTAATATATCGACTTCCAATGTTAACTGGCTTTGTTTTCCTTCGAGAGAGAAGCTGAGATAAAGCAGACGGCGTAACAGTACGCGCTGACGTAATAACACGTCCAATCAAACGTCGCTTTTTTCTACGCATGTCCGTTCCGGAGTCTTCCTGTTCGCTCGTGGCTAGAGGACGTTGGTGTCACAGAGGAGAGGGGCTCGCAAGGTATTTTTATTTTTCCCTATAACCCGGAAAGCCGAAACAGACAAAAGATGTTTTCCCGTGCCGTGAGACCTACCTTCTCCCTCGCTCGGAGCCTGTCCACCTCTTCGCATAACAACGCCAAGGTGGCAGTGCTTGGAGCGTCAGGCGGCATAGGCCAACCGCTATCCTTGCTGCTCAAGAACAGCCCCCTGGTGAGCCAACTCTCCCTGTATGATATCGCCCACACACCTGGGGTGGCCGCGGATCTCAGCCACATTGAGACAAGAGCCCAGGTAACCGGCCACATGGGCCCCGACCAGCTCAACGCTGCTCTGCAGGGCTGTGACGTCGTGGTTATTCCCGCCGGCGTTCCCAGGAAACCCGGCATGACCAGAGATGACCTCTTCAACACCAACGCTACCATTGTAGCCACCTTGGCCGACGCCTGCGCCCGCAACTGCCCAGAAGCTATGATCTGCATCATCGCTAATCCTGTTAACTCCACCGTTCCTATCACATCAGAGGTTTTGAAGAAGCACGGAGTGTACAACCCCAACAGAGTGTTCGGTGTCACAACCTTGGACATTGTCAGAGCCAACGCTTTTGTGGCAGAGCTCAAGGGCCTTGACCCGGCTCGTGTCAGCGTCCCAGTCATCGGGGGTCACGCCGGGAAGACCATCATTCCCCTCATTTCCCAGTGCACACCCAAAGTTGAGTTCCCTGCCGACCAGCTGTCCGCCCTGACTGGAAGGATCCAGGAAGCCGGCACAGAAGTGGTCAAAGCCAAGGCAGGGTCAGGGTCCGCCACCCTGTCCATGGCCTACGCAGGTGCCCGCTTCACCTTCTCCGTCCTGGATGCCATGAACGGAAAGGAAGGTGTAGTGGAGTGCGCCTATGTCAGGTCTGAGGAGACGGAGTGCAAGTACTTCTCCACACCTCTCCTGCTGGGAAAGAGTGGCATAGAGAAGAACCTTGGGCTGGGCAAGCTGACCGCCTTTGAGGAAAAGCTGGTTGCCGATGCCATCGGTGAGCTGAAGTCTTCTATCAAGAAAGGCGAGGATTTTGCTGCTAACATGAAGTAAATAAAAGCCAATGTGTAAACATCAACCAACAGAAGTTGTGATTGGTAATTTGCTCTGTCTTAAAAGGCATCAGGGTAACTTAAGATCTGTCAGTGTTTCCTCCTCTTTTTTTTCTGTTTTGTTGCAGTTTTTGGTATCATGGTGTTCTTACCCATACCTGTTCAAACATGGCTTTATACTGTATGTATGATTTGTGTGCATACTGTACTGTGATTTTTTTTTTTTTTTAAATGTCTGACTTAAAAAAAACAACAACCTTCAAATGGCTATTTTCATTCATGGTCTGTATTTGGATATTTCTCTGCTGAGTAAACAAGAGGAAATGTTGTCTTGCCTGCTGACGCCCATACAGTAGTTACTGATGAGCAAAATCTTCACTCCCCCAATAAACAGTTTAGCTTTAAAATGTCTCTTGTTTTTTATTCTTGAGAAAAATGAATTACAAAATTGGACTAATTTAATACAGTGAGCAGAGGGTAAAGCTGCAGACTAAATAAGAGGGCATAGAGTCTATGCTTTCTTATTTAGGCATAGATAGGCTATAGACCATACCGTTTACTCAAAACTAAGAAAATATGACACTTGTTTCACAGAATTTCTTGTGATCACAACATTCTTCGCCTTATAATCCCCTTGGCTCAGATTGAAAAGTTTGGGTAATTTTTGGCACCAGATGGATGCTAAATCAATAATAAACAGACACAATTACAAACCCATTATATTTTTATTTTGACATTCAGGTGTTTTTGGTTCCTTGTCCTTATTGAATGCACAGAATCTTTAACACAAAAGGAAAAACGTCCGGTGGCTTCAGCACTTATCTAAGTAAAATGAACTTTTTTTCAGAGACGTAACAGAGCATTGTTTTTTTTTTACCATAGTCATTTTCAATGGTAGTGATTATGAAGATGGTGAGAGAAACTTGTTTTTTGTTATTTTTCTTTACAAACATTGGATCAAACAAAGAGATCTAAAAAAAAAAGGAAAGGGTACAACAAAAAATAAACAATTGTTCTACATATGCTGCAAAATCTACATTCAAAAACCAAGATGCACAATGTTGTACCAGAGCCCCATTAAATAACCTTATCGACAAGCACTCTCTGTCCGTCTGCCGGACAATCCTCCACAAAGTCACAGACAACTCTCACCGGTTTTAAGTCCCACAGCAGTGTTGTCTGTATGTGTGGAGGAGACACTCAGTAGAGGAGATGAAGGAGTTGAGACTACAGAGCAGGAAAAAAAAAGACTTTTTAAAGTCAATAGTAGCCCATGCTTTGTGACTGAATGCGCCCCAATTGTGCTGGTGCATAAACAGTCTATTCAAATCACACAGGTTAGCAGCAACACCCCTGTGAGGAGGGGGCAAAATGGGGAGGGTGGGGACGTTGTGGAGCAGGAAGGATGAGAAGACGGCGGGAAGGTGGTGGGGAGCCTTTAGACTTTGTCTCTACTCTCCATTACTGCACAATGCTATCATCCGGAGAGACGTCCTGGCCCCGGCGGTGCCTGTGCTCCGTTTTGTTCCTGTTATCAGAGTCTTCACGTTCACCTGCGTCCCTGTCCTGCTGCTTTTCCCGCTTCCTCTCCCTTCGCCGGCCCTGGCTGTCCTTGTCTTTGCGGTTGTTGCGATTTCTTTTCCCTCTGCGCTCAGGGTTTCTCTGTCCTCCTGGAAAATAAAGACAATAAAAATGTGTAGATTTGGGCCAAGTTGATGAGGTTGCTCACCACTTTTCACAAGTAAAGGAGGGTCATTTACTTAGTTTTGACATCATGATTTATTTACACCACCTGATGAATTCATTCATATTTTAGATATTGAAGCAATATATTTCATGTTTTAAGCTGATGTTATGGCAAAAAAAAAAAAGTCAAAGTGGCACCTTGGTTTGTAAATTCAGGGAGAGCATCAAATATATTCAACTTCAAGATTATTTCTTAAATACGAGTAAAAAAAAAACATGTTCAAGAAACAGCAGCAAAAGTGAATATTGATGCATCACAACTCACACCCAGCCCACGTTCTCCCAGTTGACCACTAGATGTCAGTGTACAACTAAAGATGGACGCTCGGCTGTCTGCCGCTGATGGCCCAGTGCCCAGGATGAGCAGACCTTTGTCCAAAATAGAAAGCCTTTAAATAAACCTCCAATTTATCTGTTCTTGCAACACCATCTCATAAACAAAAAAGAGAGTTTCGGAATGCTGAAGGTTTATCTCTGCTCGGGCCACAGTTATTAATGATAATAACAAGATCTACCCTCAGGGAGGTTGGAGACAGGACCTGCGAGTGAAAGCAGAGGAGGCCCTTTCCTGTTGTTGTACTGATGCCGCTCATGTGTGAGTGGAACGGAGCAGTACGGACTGCTTGGCTGTTGGCTGGCCGGTTGGGGATTGTGAAACTGCTGAAGTAGGCAGTAGGCACAGACATAGGGAGAGAGAAAAAGAGATCTGTGTCTCTCTCTTGTCTGCTTCATGTGTCCCCCCCCGCCCCCGTCACCCCCCACGCCTCTACTTCGACCCCCATGTGCATTAATTGAGATAGGATTCTGGCTGGAAGTAAGTCTGGGCTACACATATTTATTTTACATGTCGGACAAAGCTCCCGTTGCCTGATGTGTTGAAAGCTCGAGGTCCTGCAAGGCGGAATAATTGAGGTAAAACAGAATCCTATCGGTGATCGGGAAGGGAGCTGGTTTCACGCATGGATGGACTGATGGATGGATGGAGTAATCTGGTCCACTGACTCATCCAGGGTATGCCCCCTGTCCACTATAAACACAGGAAGTCCCCTTCACTCTCATTGTTTTCTCTGTCCTGACACCATAACTATTTACAAGTTCAGTGGATTAGTCATACTGTAGCCCCAATGCTTTGGTCCAACCAAAGGAGAAACCCAATCCGCGCTTGTGCAGAGATGATTAGGAGAGTGTTTATCCATCCAACCTGCCTTTGGTTACTTGGAGCAATTTCTGATGGCCTTTTTGTAAACTGTATGTTGACATGTGTACAGTGCTCCTCAAATGAGACACCTTTGGAGGTTTTGGAATATTTTCAACAGACATTTAGCACATTCCCAAATGTCATCTCGTGCTGAATAATTTCAAAACTTCCAGACTCACTGTGAGGTTGGCTTATGGAACAACTTACGATCTTACTGTGATGTAAAGAACTAGTGTTAATATAACTTTCTTAGAGGGAGGAGAAGAAAAAGCTTACATTTTCTAAGCCTATAGATCTGATTAGTGGTGAGCTGTTTCCATGAAGCGGTTGCTGTTGCTCAGTGTTAAAATTGGTAGCGACAGCTAGCTCCCACAAATAAAATCTTTTTTTACTCCATGCTTGAAATAAACTAGTTACTAATTTGGGCAAAACAAAAAATGGATATTTGGATCTCACACCTCCTATTATCTTTGAAGTTTTTTCAAGATTCTTCTACTTTATTAAACTTGAAGTTCTTGATAATTTGCCACATGGCCAAGGCCCAAATCTACATGAAAGTTGTTGTCTCTCCCCTGAACTGTCGGAAAGGTACAGACGCCAAGAGTGACTTATATCTGATATTATCTTTGAATCATCGAAGCAGAATTTTCTGTCATTTGAGAAGTTATCCCAAGAAAAAGAACATTTCATGGAATCACCGGCTGGTTATGGTTAGCAAGAAAATGAGGGGTTCCAGTCATGACAGTTGGAGAGGATCTATGACACTGAGTCACGCATACATGTTTCACTGTGTTTGCTGCCCTGAGTTTAGTAAATGTTTCCCCTTGGCCACAGACAGTGGCATCTGTTGCAGGGATAAGAATCCAACCAAATCTGTTACACACAAGCCAGTAGCTCCTTTTCAAACAATCCCACTGTTTGCGAAGAGACTTCACCGAGTCAAACCAACTAAATATATTGTTATTTTTTCATGGCAAAAAATCCTTGTTTTCCTGAAAGGACATAATAAACCTAAATATCACTGAATAACAAGCATTGCTGTGTCACCGTTTTAAGATAATTTACTTGTGATAATAATGATGTAACTTAAAATGATTTCAAGCACTGTCTGTTGGCAGTTCAGACTTGCTTTTATCAATCAATGGATGTCAACGGGCAAAATATCATTGCAATGCTTGTCCTGTCTCAACTTTTAGACCACCATTTATTCTGTTAATCGGCTCTTCAATCAGATCTGAGTGGGCTTCTCAGTAAAGGGAGTATAAGAAGAAAACACAAAGAGGTCTTACAGCAGGATTAAGAATAAAAACAACAACATATATATATATATTTTTTTTGTGTTTGTGTGTGTGTGTGTGTGTGTGTGTGTATTACAAACATTTTTATTACTTTCATATTAAAATGACGGCCCAATAAATCAGATCATGAGCTTTAAAAAGTTGATAAAATCTTCCATCATGAAAGCATCAGACTGTTTTCAAAGACACTTTCTGCATCTCAAACAACACATAACAAAACTACCACAAAGGTTACAGTAGTAGAGCTGAAGGCCCCATTCAAAAATCTTGTCTTCTCGGAGTCAGTTCTAATGCTACACACAACAATACTCAGGGCCTAAAATTTATTATGGGAAATTAAACACCTGTTAGCCCATATTAGTGAAGGCTTGAAAAAGAGAACCGTAGTAGACCAACAGCAACACAGAACAAAAGGACTTGGTGGGCCTAGCGATCAAAAGAAAGAGTAGGCAGACACTGCGGATAAAGGGGAAAAGAGAGTCTAAACGCATGCGTGTGTGGTGAGAGAACCACACTGTGTTTTATGGTACATCCTCTGTGGCAGGCACTCTGTCGTCCGAGGAGCTTTTGGCGGGAGCCAGGCCAGGATTAAAGGCTATGGGCTGTCCCACAAGTGGAATGCCTGCGGCATGGCTGCCAGGATGTCATGAGGGGGGTCATGGGTGCGGGCAACAGCCACCAACCCCACTGTGACTGAGAGGATAGCGGTAGCTCGCTTAGCTGGAAAAATCTCTGTGCTTAAGGAGTATGTTTGTGTAAGTGTGGGAGTTGACAGGTGTTCAGATTTTGGGAGAGCGTGCAGTCTACACGGCTACAGAGGTAGTGGCGTGGAGAGCAGGTCTATCATAGGACAAATTGGCCAGGATTAACTCGACAGGGAAGGGGGTGAATGTGAATATAAAGATAATGCCAGAGGGCAGAAAAGCTAAAGATAAACAATCTTGTATTTTTTTTTAACAGTTTAACAGCATTTATGACATATAAATGCCGCTCTCTCTCTCTCTCTCTCTCTCTATATATATATATATATATATATATATACTAAAATAAAAATAGTTAGCGTCAAACAAGAAGATCAAATATTTGGTCCTCGTGCTGCAAATGTGCAGATTCTTCCTTGTGAAGATTAGCCTAGAACAACTGAAACTGAACTCTTTCAATCACAGGAAAAACTAATTATTTATCTAGATTTAGACATCAGGTTATTTTCCTCCTTGATAGAAGACATATTGAATACCTGCTGGCTAAAGTTTGATATTCCAACAGGTCAAAAGACAAGCTTCATCTTCAACGTAGTTATTTCTCCTTACAGACAGAGTGGCTTTGAATGCATCATTATACCAAAATCAAAATGACACCCGATTAATAGAAATGAGCTTATATTAAATATGTAATGTTAAATGTGAGACGGATCTAGCAGGCTTACATGCAGAAGAAGGAACTACTTTGATATTTGTTGCTTGTGTTCGGTTTTGACATATTTCTAGAGTCTGAAAGCTTTTTTCATCTTAAAAAGAATGAATGAATAGCTGAATAGTCTTTTATACTCAGTGAACCAGGCGCAAGAGTGAAACAATGTCACAAAAAGCGCAACAGGAAGATGAGATGCAGTGCAGACGTTGTGGGGGTGAGGCCAAAAGGAGAAAGTGCAGTGGAGGAGGAAAGGAAGAGGATGAGGAGAAGGATGTATCAGTGTCGGAGGGCTGCTGGAGGATTACTGGGGGCTCTCCGAGGTCGGGCCACTGACCCCCTAGCGTGTGCAGAACGTAAACAACGAGGAGAGGATGCGCCAAGGCAGATAATTAGCTCCCATTCACTGGAAAGTCTTTGGATATGGGACAACTTTCTTGCTTTCTTTCCTTCCCCTTCGTTTTACATCATCCCCATTTCACCAGGTTCTGGCCGTTGATTCTCCATTGAAGCCTTGGCCCCAACCTGACTGACTGGGAATGGCAACAGGGAGCTTAAAAGGGTGATCTCTGCTTTTTTTGGTGTGATGGGGAGTGTGTCCTTTTAGTGTGTGTGTGCGTGTACATGCACACGCAGAGGAAGTGGATGGGGAACAGCTCAGTCGACAGATGCAGAGAGAAGATGAGTGAAAGGGTGACAGAGGGCACATTTCACAGTCTGCCCAACAAATCATGTTGACCCCGGTTGTCTCTCCTCACAAATTACCTGCTGTGTAGCCAGCCAAAGCTGCACTGAGTGTGTGTCGGCATGTGTGCGAGAAAGAATTTGTGCAGTTGTCTAGCTTGTTTGAAATGGAGAGGTTGGATCTGTATCTGGAACTGCGTGTCCATTAGTGTGAGCGCACAAGAGGGTTTGTGCGTGTGTGTGTGTGTGTGTGTGTGTGTGTGTGTGTGTATTGGCAGCTGTGGGGATAAACCAAAACTGATCCCCTGGTCACCGCATGCCTCCCAAGGGGAGGATGTTGATGTTGAGCTGGCTGTTTCTGCTCCAGAGTCGACCGCTTTTTGCTGCATCACACACACACATACACACACACACACAATGACACACACTTACGCACCCATACACACACAATGTTTGTTCTGTAAGTGTGAGGCCCCAGAGGGCTGGATCTCAGCCTCCTACCCTGTCTGCGATCTGTCATTTAACACTACAGAGTCCTGGCCAAAAAACAACCAGCCGTAGCCTCCAACCACCTCTCTAACCACACAAGTGCACACACACGCCGCACACACAAAACTCAAGGCGATCGTACACGCACCCCGGCATCAGATTTTATAAGGAGACAAGACCGTCTGCAAGCAGTTTTCACTCTGTTCATTAGAAATGATCACGCTATTCCCTGTTTACAAAGAGCACAGAAAGTGGTTTCGCTGTTTAAAATCCAAAGAGGTCTGGTGGGAAAACACACAACATACCCATTGCAACATCACACATGTGTGTTCCCAACGCACTGTCCTCACTCCAGCCACAATGACAGTCCTCTGAGTAAACAGTCACAGTCCTGAGCGGAAGACCGTCTCACTCTGGTTGTACAAGCTGAAGCAGCATGGTCTGGAATTCATAGAGAGCTGAAGCTGGGCCATGTGTCACAAATACTATGTCGGCTGAGAGTGGAATGGGTCAGAGGCAATTACGGACTTTTTCTGCGCTTTAGGTTCATATGCAGAGTGAGAGGGACCTTCGGTCAGGGCCTGACACACACTTTAGACGCAGAAATGTGACCACTTTGCGACAGTATGCTTGGTTTACCTGGACATTTCCTCTTCTTGACCAGACATTCTTTGATCTCAGAGATCTCCGGGCAGGGTTTGCCAAAAGGGGATGGATACTGCAGGACCTGTCTCGTGCGGGTCTCCTGGCCCCGTTTAAAGCCACAGGTTTTCCCGAGCTTGGAGCAGGGGCTCCACTCGCTCCACTCGCCCACTTCGCAGTGCACTGCCAGGGGAAACATGCAGAAGTAAGGATGAGAAGCCTCAAAATTGAGTTGATGGAATCTTTATTTCAAGCTTCCAAAAAGCTTCAGCACGCACTCACACACGACTGACCTTGTGCTGTGCACTCCATGAGCTTGTCATTGGGCTCATATTCATCTGGACAGATGTGGTAGCACCTCCCGCTCAGCTGGAAAAAGCCCGGACGGCACTGTGTACACGTTTCGCTGTTCGCACACAACTCACAATCAGCAGGGCACCCTGTAAACACAGACCCGTTTCTGATGTTGGAAATGCTGCGCACTGGGATAAACAAGCAGGTTTTTTCTCCCCCCCAACCCCTGGGTAATGTGAACCGAAAGCACTCACTGGGTACACACTCCTTCTGCGTGTCGCTAGGAACCATGCCTTCAGGGCAGTTCTGTTGGCACTTGCCCACGGAAAGGTAGAATCCTGCTCGGCAGCGCGTGCAGAAGTTCCTGTTGAAGCAAGAGTCGCACTCCGACCTGCACTCTGACATAGAGACACAGACACACACCACCGTTTGTTCAAACAGGCCAAGTTACGGGGAATGCACAAGGTGGTTTGATATTACACTTGGAGGTTTATGATTTATCATTTTCTCTTGGGTAGTGCTTAATTTCATTGAATGTTACCAAATTAAAAGATACTTATTAAATTAACTAATAATCCAATTTCAACATTGTGGTATGTTGGTCACAAAAAGTACAGCCTTTGTGACAAGACAGTACTGAGATGAAACTGACTTCTTATAGCCTGCCTGTGTCTTTAAAAACAAGCCAATGACACAGGTAGCTGAGATCACAGTTACAGTAATTTCCTTATTGATTCAGTCCACATTCGGAAATGCCGAGTGCTATGACTGGGTTAATCGGTGGAGTTATAATATCGTTCCACCATGAGGAATCCAGTTGGTTACTAATTGTGACTCACTTGTACAAGTGCTTCTCTCTGGTGTGCGAGTGCCGTAAAATCCCGGAGGACAGGAAGTCATGCACACCCCGATCTGCCTCATCCCGATCCTCTCCAAATGCATGAAGAAGCGCGGCTTGCAGGACAGGCAGCCATTATAGTCCGAGCAGGTCAGGCAGCCCCCCTGCTGGCACCCTGAGCTCACACCAGAGAACTCTGTTGACAGAAGCAAGCGGAATGTTTTGTGTAAGGAACACTAGCTTCACTTAAATATAAAAATGACCATATAAAAATCACGTACACCTCAATGCAGAAATCATGGCCTTTGACCCAGCCAGCTTATACTATTAAAGTGTCCTTGACCAGGGCGGAAACCCAAAAGTTTAAGTTTATATACCAATTTGAAATTATTTGTCTTTTTTAAATGCTATCCGCTGTGGAAATTTGCCTTTTTTAAAAATTCCAGTCTTATTTGATGTGTGTGATAGAAAGGTATTACATCTCAATTATTCACTCTTTCAGGTATCACTCTTTCAATAGTGTTTGTGGCAATGGTCCAAAATGCCAAATATTCTAGAATATTTTGAAAAATGACTTCAAACATTCTGAGCAGAGAGCTCAAGGAGCAATGCACGCATTGATGAAAGCATTTTTTCAAATAAAAAACCAGTCCAAAAAGTCATGTTAAAGGACAAAGTTAAAGCAAGCTGCAATGTACACATGTACGGCTGTGTTTCATTCTTGCTGACATGTTTAAATCCCATTTTAATTGAACTATATCCGAGGACTCGTTCGATTTTGGACAACAAAGAACATAAAGGCTTTAATCATTTTAATTGTATGTTGACATTTTTGTCTGGTATATGAGAAAGACCACCATCTTCCATGTTCCAAGTTTGTGTCACCATGATAACATCTATGCGTTGATTACTGAAAACTCAGAATAATATTCCCTATTAGCATGCGGCAAACTTGGAAAAACCTTTTATAATGAATACATCTGACTCTGTATGTGATAGAACATGAATCACAAGAAAGAATTGGGGCTGTTCTTAAACATAACATCAGGCATAGAAAAAGGCTATATGAAGTTCAGAAGTTCAGAGAGGGTGCTAGCTCCAGTTAGAGCATCATATCATGCATACTGATTATTTGAGCATCAGGAAAATGGTGCACTTCTCATAGTTGTTATCTTCTGTTAAATCCTGAAAGTGCAGCAAGGGGAGTGACATATCATCCCACCTTTGAAACATTTGCTGACAGTGTTAATGTTTTGGAAATGTGCCACAACCAGTTGATAAATCAAAAATTACCTCTGCGCGGACCCAAGGAATTGGCTTTGCTTGCTTGCCATAGTACTTCATGCCAATGGCTTCTGCTGGCCACGTTCCTCAGTTTAGGATTCAGCTGCCAGTTTACCATAGATCATGGAAACTTTGTTTGAAATATCTTGACTTTCTTTACAAGTGTTGATCATTTGCCCATATGTGTTCGTGCCAAGCCGGCTGGATTCGCAGATACTTTAAGACGCAGGAATTTGGCCCTGCCCTTGCACTTGCACCAGCAGAACTTCAGATGGACAGCAGCATCTTGCGCAATATGCTAGCAAAGTCACATGTGAAACAAACATACATTCCCTCAAAGAAAAGGGACGATTCATAGAAAAATTTGGAAACTAAAGAAAATAGAAGTAGAACAGGAGAATTATTCCTGCAAACTGTATGATACCGATATCTTTTAAGTCTTATTTTGGAAAACACACTTGTTACCTTCATGGTGTCCACAACTCATTGCACCCAGTTCTTAATTTTTCAGAGGCATCATCACACACAGGAAGTGCATGACCTGTTAACTGACTGGTCATTGACTCTACACTCACAATTGTCCCCTTCTCTCCCTCAAATGTCTGTAATCCTTCACCCCTTCACCAACTAATCCCTCTATCCTCTAGGATATCTTGCAAAGTGTTAGATATCTGCATCCTTGGAGGAAGCCTGGATTCCTGGAGGAACTCATAGATTAATTGTTACTGAGTCAGAGTGGAGAAGAAAAGATTGACTCCTCGTGCAAAAATGAAATATTGCCTCACTGCTTATCCTATCGGTGGAGAGGAATCACATGCTGCCTCAGAGAGGCAATTGCTTTAGGATTAGATTATTTTCAGGAGGAAAGTATGTTTAATGGATATACTCCTCCATAGATGAGATTTGAAATATGTATGATTAAAAAAATGTAGGTGAGAGAGATTTTAAGAGACTAGGATTTCTAGTCTCTTAAATTTACTCTGTCACGTCCTCGGTAAAGGGGCTATTTAATATTGTTCAGAGGAAATTTTTTAATCAATATAAAGAGGTGACACTCTTAATGCTTACATGTTTTGCATCATATAAGTATATTTTTAAGAATGATAACACAGGGGGTAAATTGGATGACAAAAAACACCCCACAGGTCCAAGCTTTGATCACATGCGAGTGGGATGTTGGATGAAGTTTCTTCCCCAGATGGCAGGGATAAAAACATCACTCTGTATGTATATTATTGTAGATCACAGACAGTTTTCAGCCACGCTGGCCAGTGATACGTGGAATATTCCAGTTATCATTGCTCTTCCCAATAAGAGTTAGTCACGAGCACATCTGGAGGCCCTCAGTGATAAAGAGGGCTTAGGCTGAACAGAGGAAAAAAACTTTATTGATACTTTTTTAAATAGTGTCATGGAAAAGAAGCTGGTCTTGGCCCAAGCCATGAGACATAATGTTGGCCCCCTCGGAGATAAATGAGAGGTGAAACACCAGGAGGCTGTAAGGAACACCTCTTGAGTCAGATATGTCAGCTGGAGAGGACCGAGATGGGACATGCGTTCAGATTTTGACTGGCACTCATCAGAAACCTTCTCCATCCCATCAAACAAAATCACTTCCTCAGAAAAATGCTGCAGTATAAATACATAATTCCAAGAGGCACGTTGCATCGCCAAATAAGGGAACTAAAGCGTGGTTATCCACTTGATCAGCTCTGATGCCCGGACAGCGTGCGTTGCGTGAATTCCTCTGCGCTCGCCGCTAGAGAGCGACGGGAAGCAGCAGACTCAGACTCAGAGCAGCAGCTGCAGGCTTCAGGTGGCAATTGACCATTCCAATTAAGTTTCAACAGTACTCATAAAAGTTAAACGGGCCACTGACTGTTGCAGCAGATCATACAATGAATTTGCGAACGAACAGTTGTGTGCGCTCCATAAATTCAGTGGAGGGATGTTGGATCGCAGTGGATAGGGCTTATGCTACATTTAGACTTTATGCACATGCGTTTATATGTGTTTAGTGTAGGGCATCCGCAGCATTGTCTCTAAGTGTAAGACAATTTAGCTCGAGTTTGAAATAAGAGATCCACAGCAGATTACAGGGAAAACACGTTCCTCACATTTGCTTGGTCATGTCCTGCATAGAAAAACTTTGTCAATGAGCCAGTGCGTTTGGGCACCAGCAAATTGAAAAGCATATAGACAAGGTCACTAAACAAACCAATCACCACTCAATAATTAAAAAAAGTCTTAAAAGGCTCTGTACTGAGAGCCAAGTTTGTAAGTGATAGAAAGAGAAAAAAAACACCTCATTTGAGGTGCTTCGCCAAAGGAGTCTTGATTTACTTAAAAAATAAATGGAAGTTTCATATAAAATTGACAAAATAACAATCAAAGAGCTTCCTCAGGGGCAGCATGCTGAACTACTCACGTTTATGTTGCCGGTGCCTGGGGCTGCTGTGCGGCTGACAACCAGTATAATCCATGCAGTGCAAGATGATCAAAACAAAGGAGACCAGTTGTAATTGCATAGTAGCCCAGAGATGAGACTCGTAAAGCCAATGTCAATGTTCACCAAAACACTTTTTTTTCACGTTTTTCTTTCCCGCAGACGGGAGCAGAGGACTGACTGTGGATAATTCCTAGACACAGCAGGACGCCCAGCTATGGGGAGATATGTGGTGGTGGTAGTGTACGGTGGCCCAATGAAGCCTGGGCCGTTTGGACTGTAACATCCTGGATAGGATCCACATAAGTGCCAAGAAAGCCAGACTGACTCAGGGGTCAGTTATCCTTGCAGCGGTGGAGAACATCCCCTTTAAAAAACATCCAAACGCACCAAAAAAGCTTGACTGGCATCTGTTGCGCACAGGAGCACAACCAAACATCAGCAAAGGTGGGTAAAAAAAAAAAAAAAGGATGAAAAGAATGATCTGCGATTATTTACAATAACTTACAAAATGTCTCAGAGAAAAGATCCATATGTAGGGCTCCACATTGACCTCTCCCTTCCTCTCCCCGTCCCTCTAAGCGGAGGTGAGCCGTGCGTCCCGGGCTGTGGACACGCTCAACACGCCACGCGCTCTAAGTGTCTCCACCTCATCTCAGCATCAGATTAAACGCGCACTCGAGAAAGTGAAAGCCAACCACAGAATCAGCACCAGGAATACAAAACTAAGGCACTGCTGTCAAACGCGCGGCGCTCCCCCTGCTCGCTGTAACTGAGAGGCAGCTCCACCAGAGTTTCAGCGCTTTTCTGCTTTGCGTGCAAGACCCATTCACTCCCCTCCCGCTGATGACTTCAGCCGGCTCTCTCTCTCTCTCTCTTCCTATGAGCACTAAAGTTTATTTGGAGGGCATACCCCCCGCGTCAGAGAGAGACAGAGAGAGAGAGAGAGAGACCTATTGAGGATATTTCAGCGAAAGCTCATACTTGAATCGTGCTTCTCTGCGAATCCACTTTGGATTCGTTCTTGTTCTTGTCGCCTGAAGGGCCCATCCCTTAAAATCAACTGTGTGTGATCAATGTATTATTGAAATGGTCCTATAATAATTTTATATGTCTTAAACTGTGCTATAAAACTGACAGAATTGGTGTTACCATAATTTGCAAAAGGAAACAACAACATAAGAATATATACAAACCCCCTCAGATGCTTTCTTTTTTCTTTCGTTTTGTTTTTGGTTAAACACTATCTGGCACTGGAGTTACGTAGGACCTGAAACAGGAAAAAGAGTTCTACATCAAGCAAGACTGAGAGCATGTCTCAGATGGTGCAATATATTATTTCACATGCAAAAACTGGGAAAGATGGATTGCTGTACGTGGAGAAAACCCACAGCAGAAACAGACGCATTTCCTGATATGAACTCTAGAGGGAGTTAGTTCCATGAAAGGTTGAGGCACGTTGTGTGTCCCGCAGAGATGCATGGCTATCAGTAAGTTCCTGTGTAGTGAACCTCAGCACTTGACCCTTCTCTGATGAGCCAAAATGCAATGCTGTTTTATACAGACAAATATTTTGGACAAATGTCCCCGGAACGTATTTCACATCAGGGCCACATAAATATTGTCACTCATTTTTCAGCATGCAGAAACAGACTGGCATTGGAGTAGAGACATCGGGGTGATGTATTCTCTTGCATGAAGAAACTTTGCGATTAATCCCCAGGTTTAGTGAGCGGCAATCTCTGGAGGCCCGAGCAGAGCAGAGGAGAGGGGGGCTGAGGCTTCATTTGTCTAACTGGAGTGTTGATGTTTAGGGGGAACAGTATGCACGACTTCAGCGCTTTTCCTCACTGTGGCTTCTGGTCATCCATCAGTCACCGTACCGAGGAAAGCAATGCAAACATAGTGTGGGTTTTTTTCTTTATGGGAATACTTCCATGTTTGCCCTGTACTAACTCACGACCAGGACCGTGAGACATAACAAAGATTGATGCATTGTTTTAAACCCTTTCACCTACACAGAGGCAGACCCCTTAATCCAAACTTTGGCAAGGAAATTAAGTGAAGCATTATGTGACTTAAATACACACAGTTAAAATGCCAAGTCATTTTAAATAGAGATGTTTTTAAGCAAAAGCATCAGGAGGCCTCCGAGGAACTGCGAAACACTATGAAATGCAATATCGCATGTAAACTGTGTATCGCTGACATGGTCTTTCTAGGAGTGTGGAAAATTTCAAACTATTTTGATGAAAGGTTTTGAAAAATTATGGAACCTGTCTCATCGCTCCCTTTAGTCTCAGTTTGGTGTAAGGGATATAGAGGAATAATGGCCGCCTTTGTGTCCCACTCTTAACAAGCTCCGCCAACCCCTGGGGGTAGGAGCGTGTCTGTGTTTGGGTGTGTGTGGGAGTGTGTATGCGGTACTGGGGTGGGGAAGGTTAAGGTCACTTGGTCAGTCCCTGTGACCATCCAGTGAGAGAATCAGTCGACACCTGTAAATGAAGTCTGGCAGGTGCATAAACCCAGCCTACCAAGGATAGATACACACTACCATTTTTTTTCATAATGAAAAAAAAAATCTCCTGTTTTTGGCCTTGTTCACAGGGATCCTAAGGGAGAGTTTATACTCATATTCTTACAATAGCAGTAATACGATTCTACTTTTTCAGCCAGAACTTCCACTTAACATTGAGGAGTTAGTTGTTTAGTATCTCAGAAGGACCCTCATTGTACCCCCTGTGCTGAGAGTAGGACCTTTTGCCTGCTATTCTTGCTATTTCTCCCCTCACTGGCAACAATTGCTGCTTAAAAATGCCAGAAAAACATTACTATATTTTTTCTTCCTCCCAAAGACGACATTGTGAAATTTAACAGGGATCTGGTTCTCAACTTTTTTTTAAAATCCTGGAAACCACCCAATTTCTACAAGTTGAAAGAGTGTTACATGCTTTCCTACTTATTTATATGAGGTGTTGAAGTCTCTTATTTAGTGCTGAATCTGAAAGTCTGCGTTTGGCCCTTCTGGATGTTATAACATCTGAAGCACCTTCACGGTGAGCAAGCTTTTCATCACATTCAAGATATCACATGCCCTCCAGGTAGAAAATGTCCAACAGCTGAGAAAATGTCCAACATGATTCATTTAACAACTGTATGTCAGCAAAGATAAACTTAGTCTTTAGTCCTCTTGAAGACCAACTAGTCAATATATGGTACACAAAATGGTGTGCCAGCCATTTCTCAGCATCAGCTACACAGATCATCACACAGTGATACAGTTATCTGCTTTCTTATATCAATGTGACATTGTCCAAATCTTTAAACCTCCACCCTATCAAGGATATCATTCGCTTAATCGTCTAATTTATCAGAGCAATGAACACACCAGCACAGAGCAAAGCCCGCGCCTCTGATCTCCAAACTGCTTATTCCCCGGCTCATGACTCATAAAATTCCCAGATGACAGTGACAATGTTGATCCACTATGCTGTCATCAGCTTATGAATTAGGCCCGGCTCAGTGTGGACAGCAATTGATAGCGTGTGCCTCACTGGGGTCTGTGAAAACATTGCAGTCTGTGGCATTAAGAGCGGGTTTTCTGACAGTGCATCTATTAAAGCTCCAAATATCCAAGCGGCTATCCCTACACATTCTCTCAGCATGAGGCAAGCAGAGTGAGACAGAGCTACATGACAGCAGAGTGGGTACAATGTTATGAAAATAGAAGGCTCACACACACACACACACACACACACACACACACACACACATGCAAATATCCAGGATCTGGAGCAGCTAACAAATAAGTATTGATACTTAAAATACTAGCATGCGCACAGACAGAGGGGATTAAACCAATATAAACAAGGATCAGGCAGATGCATAAGTTATGGGATGGAAGGAGGAGGAACTTTTCCCTCTATGCGTGTGTATGTACGTTCCAATACGTGTGTGTGCGCATGTTGGGGTGATTGAGGGGATCACTTCATAGTAAGAGGGATTGAGAAGGTAGTCAAGGACAGATAATCACTGTGAGCAAGAGCTGTCAGCTGTATACACAGAAGAAAAGCGGGTCAGAGTTTTGAAAGGAAAAGGTCAAAAGAGAAGGGCACAATGTCAGTGTTTGTGTGTGTGTGTGATGGGAAAATAATCACTGATCACGCGTTGTACATTCAATTTCCTCATGATAAAGATAAATTACAATCCACATTTCGAGAAAAGCATTTGCTTCCTTGCCAGACGTTCGGCACCTCTCGTGGATCTGCAAAGTTAAAAGCTGAAGGCGGCATAGTGTTAGCTTATCTAAGCATAATGACAGGAAACTGTACAATATGCACAACATGTGTTCTTACATATGTAGGTGCTGAAAGTATTACGCTTTGTGAATAGATGTAAAGTTTTTGTCCTTAATGGAAAATTGGCCGCAGCGTTTTCCAGCAGCAGGCCTGACTAACTCGGCCATGAGTGTCGCCATAATGACACGTTTGATCCATAATGGCGTCTGCACTCTCCTCGACAGCAAACCTTTAAACAAACCAAGCAAAGGAAGGACGGCTCTGTGTCTGACCATCAACGCAACGTGACCTCGGTTGAGGTGTTTCCGCTGCGTTTTGCTTTTCCCTTTGAAAAACGTGACCGTGTGGTGATTAGCCAAAGCGATCCTCATGACAGGGGGAAGGGAGGGGGCGTCGAAGAAAATCCTCTGTTAACTTGTGAGAAGGCTAGAATGAGGGGTCTGAGGGGTTGGTTGGGGTGGGAAGCGTGGTATTCTCATAAAACTGGAGCAACAAAGTTAGTGAGCAAAGCCAGCAACCCCTTGACAAGAGTGAGAAAGTTTATATATTCTCTTTGCTCTCTTGTTACCTCAATGTTGGGTTTTATATGAAGCTGAGAATAGACAATGACTGCACGCTGGGGTTCAAACACAGCTACCCGGGAATTTTTAATCATCAGGGCACCACTGGCTTTTTTTCTCATTAGTTGTTGCCAGGTAACAAGTGGGGGAGACTATAGGTATTCTATATGAGAGTGTGTGTGCCACTTCTACTGAGGGAATAGGAGGGTGTGCAGATCAGTGTGTGTATAGAGGAACCTCAGGGTTATTTTATTAATCTGCATGGGGAGTCTTTCCTTTTTCTCCCTGATAAGATCCTTTATGCTCATTCTTTGTCGCAGGTGGACCTTCTGCCCTCAACTTTTGTTCTGTGATCACTCAGCTCTGCGGGACTTGTGTCAGGCATCCCCCCCTTAAAAAAGAGCCTGTGTGAGAGTAGGTGGGGATATGTGAGAGAGATACTGAATACTATGAATAACTATGGGGCATTTCCGAAGCTGCATTTCTCTGGGAAGCCTAGTTTATAAATCATATACTGTAAATAGTTTTGATGACTTTTTACTGAGCATATGGTTCAGGAATAGCCCCAGAGAAACTTCACAATTACTCACAATAGAAAGTTGAAAGAAGGCAGATGGCCTGAGATTTATTTTTCTAGTGAATGATTTCCTCTCAAACTAAAGGGTTCTAATGGAAAGAGCTTGAATTAAAACATGTGTGAAAGTACAATTTATCCCTTCGTTTTTTGCCCAAGCATGAAAAACCCAAGCGAATCACAGTGCAGGAAAAATTTGCCTTTTCATAAAGCAAAATGTGATTTATTTTCAGGGGAGAAGAAAATGAGCACTTTTTCCTTCTTCCTGAAAAAGCTCAGTATTGGCCACATCTGTTCGGCCAGAGTTACCAGTGGCTAATGTTAGCTTGTTTATTTCAGGAACTGTTGAGATAGTGTGGTTTCAACAGTCAACAAATATCTTCTCAAATGTTCTAAACATGAAGTCACTAAAGTGATGCCTCTTCTCT